TTTAAGACGAAGCCCGAAATTTCTCACCTACGTGTATTTGGTTCACTTGGATACGCACATATCGATGACTCAAAGCGCACGAAATTCGACGCGAAAGGGTTTCGCTGCATGCTGTTAGGATATGCAAGACACACCAAGGGTTACAGGGTGCTTGATCTGGAGACTGGTACGATCAAGATCAGTCGTTCGATCGCGTTAGATGAACGTGAAGTTAGTAACATTTACGAAGACAATCCGGTTGTACCACACCCGAAGATGATAATAATACGACAAGATGACGATGATGGAGATCAACCAAGTAACTTGCAACAAGATGGTGATGAAGATGTTGAAATGGAAGAGCACGAAATTGTCGAAGATGTGAAGATGGAAGTACCGAGTTCTGACAATGACATCAGTAACACACCTTCGAGTGAGACAAGCAATCATTATCTTGCAAGAAATATGAACAACGAACAACATCAACACACTTCCCAAGTAATTCAACAAGGACCTCGTCACCAAGAACTCGAATTACACAATCCGCACGACTCTGGAGCGATGGTGTTCCGTCCACAACTTAAGCGTCGTTCCGGTCGCGAGCATCAGTATCGTGTTCTTACCGACGATGCCAGTGGGAGAAGTGAATCCGGACCACGAGGAGGTGTTGATGAAATGCTACCAATTGAGCAACCTGTTCAGCTCTTGTTGGAAGACAATAACACTAGTACCACAACAGAAAACAGCATTGTGCCATACAATGAAAACCATGAAGCCAGTGGGAGTGAAGATGACGAACCTCCTTCCAAGCGATCGCGAATAAACAGCGATGTGGCATTGATAGCAGAAGTTGCCATGATAGCTCGTGATTTACCTGGCTCTTATGCGGAGGCAGTGAATGGACCTGACAGATACCAATGGATTAAAGCTATTGAGAATGAATTTGCGGCTCATGAGCGTAACAAGACGTGGACACCAATTGTACGCAAGCCTGGAATGAAACCAATTGGATCGAAGTGGGTATGGGCTAAAAAGAGTGATGGTCGATACAAAGCACGACTTGTGGAGCTCGGATTCCTGCAACAATATGGTATCAACTTTTTCGAGACGTACGCGGCTGTCGCCAGTATGAACTCCATCAGGATGCTATTGTCGATTTGCTGTGCAGCAGGATATGTGATCGACCAGCTTGATGTTGATACGGCCTACCTGAATGCCGACCTACAAGAAGAAGTATACTTGTTACCACCCAAAGGGATGAAAATTGGCAGCGAGTTTGTACTTAAATTGAATCGCGCGCTTTACGGACTTAAGCAGGCTGCAAATGCCTGGAATAAGACGATTCACAATGCATTACTGGAGATGGGATTTGTCGCGTGCGGTGCTGATCGATGCATATACAAGATAAAGGATGGTGAAGGCTGGGCGTACGTGTGCTTATACGTTGATGATATGATTGTGGCTGCAAAAGAAGCAACCACGGTACGCAAGGTGAAAGAACAAATCTCTCAGCGGTTTCAAACCAAATACCTTGGTCCAGTGAAGCACTTGCTTGGAATGGAAGTTATGTACGACCGAAAGAAGCGTGAGATGTTTATTTCGCAACAAAGATACATCGAGGAGACTGCAGACATGTTTGGACAGACTCAAGCCCGACCAACTGGTAACCCATGTGATCAGAGCATGAAACTGTCCAGCGCAAACAGTCCAAAGTCCGATGTCGAAAGACAAGCCATGAGTCGTACACCGTACCGCCAATTGCTGGGACGACTGCTGTTTATAGTGACCACGACCAGACCAGACGCAGCATTTCCTGTGAGCCAACTTGGACGATTTGCAGAAAACCCTGGCTCACAACACTGGAAGGCACTGATCAAAGTGCTAAGATACCTCCGCTCGACGAGTGGTTTTGGATTACACTACAGTGTTGACAAACTACAGCAACAACTAACAGCGTATAGTGACGCCGATTGGGGAAACAGCTTGGACGACCGTCGATCGGTATCTGGTGTTTTGCTGGTGCTTAATGGAGGCCCTGTTATATTTAAGTCTAAGTACCAACGCACCGTTGCATTGAGTACTTCTGAGGCTGAATATATGGCGCTAAGCATGTGCACTCAAGACATACTATGGGCAAGGATGTTAATGGCTGACCTCGGATTCGAGCAGAAGAATCCTACTGTCATCTACGAGGATAATCAAGGAGCCATTGCTCTCGCAACAAACCCAGGATACCATGCGCGGACTAAACACGTAGACATACGTCACCACTTTGTCCGAGAGAAAGTTCTGGCCGGTGATATAAAGGTGATCTACAAGGAGACGGAACATCAACTTGCCGACATACTAACGAAGGCACTCGGCACCAAGCGATTTCAGTACCTCCGTGCCGGAATGGACATCAAGGTACGTGATGGATCCGAGCATCAACAGTGAGTGGGAGTGTTGATGTGTGCACTGTCAATGCACGGTCAACAAAGCCAACTGTGATTTGCTACGCACAAGTGACAAGACAGCGATGATACGACAGGGTGTAAACGGTTCACGTGCAGTCTGATGATTCTAGAACTACCTTGAGTGTATGTTCTAGAATCCATCAAGATCAGGGAAAGCTACAAGGTAGAAGAAGATAACACGACGAGTAAGTTCATAGGAAAACTAATTCAATACACTTTCCAATTTTCCTTCGACATAACAACTTTCTGTGGCATACGAGCCGATTTACTTCAGCCAATACAGTAACTATGTTTTAGCAGCCGCTGAAGCAACTTCGCTTAAAGAGCGATTTGACTTTTCTGTGCAAAGTCAACACAGATTGACGACACTACACTCGTGCCTACTGCATAAAACGTGTCAGCGACGCTATCACTCGAGACCGTTCGCGTATCACTTCGTCACAGATTCATGGCTGAATCTCCAGCTAAACGCGGAACACCAACATGCGATTGCCCTTCCCCAAGTCCCGCATATTTCTACGAGCCGACACCAACTTTTGCATCGCAAGTCGCGTCACCCTGACAGTGTCGCACCGGCTAACTTGATTTGACCTGTGCGGCTCACGCCGGGCATGCTCCCGCCTTCCGCTTTTGATCACGAAAATTGTTTTGTTTTGTCATTGAGGTATATTTAGGTACGATGAAGACCTATAATATCCGCGCTTGAGTTGTGCTACAAGGCTTGCTCAGCAAATTTATAAGGGTTAGCGTGGGTCGAGGGTGTTCCAAGTCAAATGTTGTTGCTCTTGGTAAAACCGAGCACGTGCCAAAGACAGTGTACGTCGTAGGTGCTGGGACCGCGGGCGCGCTATCTCGTGTACCAGAGCGGACGCGTTGTCCAGCCAATGTGAGCTGTCGTTCTGTAAATTGGGCTCGACCCATTGTATGATCGGTCTTCTTGATAAACCGTCGCACTGATGTGAGTGTTTGCTACCCATTGCAGCATCTGCCATCTTGTTGCGGTCTCGGTAGTGGTGTACCCAGCTGGCCACACCCAACTCGTGTGCCGTTAGTTGCGCTTGCCGGTATAGCGGCTGTAGGATTGACGATCTCGGCGGTCGACGATGTCGTAGTTGATTTATATTCAATTGGCTGTCCCCGACAACGGGTAGCGGGTACAAGCTCATGTTGCGTGCGTGCGGTTACGAGAATGGAGCCCGTTCAAGGGTGTCAGCGCATACCGCACATACGAGTAGCAAAGTCATTCCTATACACAAGCACGTTCCCGCTGCAATCAACGACAGTGGCAGGACGTTCTTGCTGTCAACAATGCAGATCTGCATTTATAGAGGCGAGCACTTCCACCGAGCCTAATTGCTCCGTAACATTGACGATGATCCCAATGAAGATGCTCCAGTCTGGTTTCGTTGAAGTGCTGGCGACGAATCGACAACCATCGGAGGTTTGATGCCATCGATTCCGTGTGAAGACGTGCCGTGGATTCACTCGTTAGGCGACTAGCTTTGTGACCTCTTGAAAGTAAAGTACTGGTGACCTCGTGTAAGCAAAGTACTAGTCGTTGTCGGATCATAAGCCTACGAGTTTGTATTGGTCTGCGCAATATGGATAGCAATCACGTGACCTTGTCATTTTCAGCTCTGCATTGTCAAGTCGAATCGTCAATATATCTTCCAGACAGGGTTCAGCCCGTTCGCGTTGATTATCATGAAAAGAAAACGAGAAAGAGCGAATACGTATGTAGTCGATCAGCCGACGCCGGTGCATTATCGCTGACAGCCGTGACTTCATTAGCGAGGACGTCGGCTGCAGTTGCCGACCTATTGATCATCATCAAGTGCACTTTTGTTTTTGGATGTGGTCCATCTCATGTGCTTCGCCAGAACGTGCACGGGCCCACGCGGTCTAACAAAGATCAAGTTCTGTCACATGCTGCACCCTATAGAACGCGGCCGTATCGATTTATGGTCTGTCGCCTGTCCGCGGCCATCCCTTGCCGATCACACCGAGTGATTCAATCATCATTACAGAACCTCCACCCCGGCCTGTACAACGCTCCACGCGACGATGCGCTTGGATAACGTGCGACACAACTGCACCGTCCTACACTGAGCGGGCTCTTTTGTCGTCCCTTCTTCGTTTGAGGAGTAGACACGGGTCCACAACATGTACAGAGCACGGTGCTAAATCATCTATCAGCGAGTGAACAAGTGCACCACCGAGAACCTCAGATGACACTGAACCTTAAAAGTAGAGGACCGAAAAGGCGGAGCGTGTGATGACACCCAGGCTACCGACTATTGCAAAAAGGGCTTGGCGCGCAATGAACACGAGTACATTTTGGCGATTCGTCTACTTGAGCTGTGACAATCGTTTGGCTGGCTCCCCGAGGGACTACATATCTCAAGAGCTGTTAAATTTTCCATATCCTGGTTCGTTCTCGTCATGAGCCGGCGCGCTGCTTCACGTATCAACGTCTTTGGTTAGAGGCCATTCTCCAAATTGCCTCGCAGTGCAGCACTCCCATCATCGGACACGACTCAACTTCCATCGATTGGTACCTACGTCATGACCCGCTTCCAACGCATGTACGCTTTCGCCGCAGCACTCGCCTTTGCTGCCAAAAACGCTGCAGGCGCTTTCACGATTGGCACTCCATCTGGTCAAGGCGTCGGTACAACGGGAGGAGCTGGCGGAGAAGTCGTGTACCCCACTTCGAACGCCGAGCTTATCGAATACCTGAATCACACCTTGCCATTCATCATTGTGCTCAACCAAACCTTCGACTTTCGCGGCACCGAAGGTACGACCACTGAGATTGGGCGCCGGCCGATCAGAACTCGCCTGTGCATGGAGCAGAACAACGGCTTCAAGGGCCAAGATGCGATCCTTCAGCGAGGTGGCATGAGCAACACGGGCGGCTGCACCAACGGCACGGAGGTGATGGTCACGTACGACAACGCTGGGATCCAACGCGTGCTTGTGAGGGACAACAAGACCATCCGTGGCATTGGCAAGAACGGAGTGCTGATCGGCAAGGGACTGACGCTGCAAAACAACATCATTGTCCAGAACATCCATATCACGGAACTAAACCCACACTTGGTGTGGGGTGGCGATGCCATCTTTGTGCCGGGCTCTGACCAGGGAAAGACGGTGGGCACCAACGTCTGGCTCGATCACGTGAAGGTGTCTCGAATCGGCCGCCAAATGGTCGTGACGAGCAGCGCTGGTGTATCTGGAATGACCATCAGTAACTCGGAATTCGACGGCAACACGGACTTTTCGATGTCGTGCGATGGACACCACACGTGGACCTTCTTGTTCTACGGAACAAACACGGCCGTCACCATGCTCAACAATGTCGTACGCGGGACCTCCGGTCGAACACCCAAAGTCGGCGGTGAGAAAGGTGACAATGTAGTCGTGCACATGGTCAACAACTGCTGGGGCAACAACACGGGTCATTCCATCGATGTCGGCTTGAACGGACACATTCTCGCTGAGGGCAACTTCTTCGACAACACGGCTCTGACCCTCCGGACCGGCAAACAGGAAGGCGCTTTGTATGCATTCAACCACACAGTTGGTGCTAACCTCTGCCCAAGCTACCTGGGTCGGCCGTGCGCGGAGAACGTCTTGGTCAAAAGCAGCCACTTAAAGTCGCGCAATGGGCGCTTGGCTCTTGAGGCGATGAAGACGTACCCTAACATCGTCGACTACATGTCGAAAACGACGCACCCTGTCAATGCGCGCGACTTGGCCAACATCTGGGCCCAGACGACCGAAAACTTTGGTGTTGGTAAGTTGTACCAAGTCCGTTGCGTAGTATTCTGTAAACCGCGATGGCGTTGAATACAATCTCGATGTTGAAATCACTTTGCTTCACATCGTTGATACTGACACTTCCTTAGGGCGTTGTGATGAGTACTGTACTGTTTACTAAGCTAGACACCTGTACAACGCAAACAACACGCAGTCCTGATCGCAGCATCGTTACCGCTCCGTCATATAGTTCCCTGCATCGATCAAGGGCCATCGCTTTTGGACAAGATGTGCCCAAATGTAATTTGTCCACTGATGGATCCAAACGAAATTATATGTTGCCGCTGATGATGGTCTGGCTGCTCCCCCTCCACACGACAGACAACTTCTCAACGGACCTTGTGAGGACCTGTCTGTCGACTTACTGAACAGCACATGATCGAATGCTGATATGCCAGCTAAGACCACAGTGCGAGCTAAGCACATCGCGTTGAAGTGACTTGGTATCGTCTGTTCGATTCCGCGGTCGGGCACATTTTTATAAATCTTGTGAGCCATGACATAGGGCGTTTACTGAATCATAGGGTCATTCACAAATACCAGTGTTAAGCAGGGAATAGTTACTCATCTCACTTCCGTCGAATCAGTAACAACGGGAAGCGAGCAAGCTTCTACTATATATAAGATGGATATCAGATTGCTTGATGTTGCCGGAGTTGTGAACATGTAGGGTATGCACATATTCACCCCTGATCCTGAAAGCTGCATCCTTTCTGCCAAACCCTTTCTTCATACCACTATATATTTTTCACAAGCTTCACGCAAATAATAAGTTTCGGAAACAGCTTGTTCCACACCAGCCGAGAAATGGATTTTGGTGGCTTGTCATTCCAGCAATGAGAGTAAGTGGATCCGGCGCTTGTTTGTTTTGTTGACACTGTGTGAGCGAAACATGATGATGCCTGTTGCGAACCAAACACTTGCTTGACAAGCAAAAGAAGCGGTAATCTTCTATTTTCATCACATATGTACAAGTTGGCAACTATAGAAGCTTTCGATGCATCAAAAGAGCTTGACACCAGAGCACTTCCATTCAGCATCTCCTTCTACACACCTGTTCACCCATTCGACAAATTAGATGCGTTGCACATGCCCCTTCGTTTGTTGTTTGGATAACAAAAAAAGTAGCTACAAGTCTATTGTACCAGTCAACGTCACATTTTAGCAACATCAGTCTTCCCGATGACTCAGATCCAGTAAGTTCAATGGTCTCAAACAGGTAGAGTGACGGCTTTCTCATGTGGCTGCACTGTACCACGTTTAGATTTCGTTTGGCCCTACTTTTGAATGAAATCTCGCTCAAGACATACGAAATCTCGAGCTGGCGTGAGTTAGTCCAACGTTGGTGCGGATCTGCGCATTCACATTACGGACCTTGGTCACATTTGACGTATATTGTCGTTCTTGTGATCAAGCCTTTCGTCAAATCCCGTTACCCTGAGCACGCGTATACTTCTGAACAGCAATCTAATGCTGTTGCCGACTGGAAATTCAGCCTCAGGAATAATTTTGATGTGTGGGGATGGCGTGGACGAGTATAGCACGCACGTTCACGTTGCGAATGAGATTCAGTTGAAGCCAGTGGCTAATGAGAAGGATAAGCTGTAGTGGCTATGATTAAAAGTGGCTTTACTATTATGTTGCAGAAGTGGTCGAAAGTGGCAGGATGCAAGTTAGTAATCATTTGCTCCAACTTGGTGACAGCTTACGGTCTCATATTTTCGGTACATTGCAAAACTACTACATATGTGAATTGTGTGCAATTGACCTTCCTGTTGTGAGACCCACCCACCTGCATCTCTCCTCCTTCATGTACGCATTGCTATAGCAAACTCCAATCCAATATACAACGGTGTTACTCAAAGCAATAGGAGTGTGGGCAGAGTAACTCTCCTAAATAATCGGTTGCATGTACGATGTGATTATAAGTAAAAGAAGGGTCAATGCTAGGTTTTGGCTGAAAGGTGTAAAATCAATGAAAATGGTGAGAATCCACCAACCTTTGTCCAACGCATTGCATGTCATTAGCCACACAAACGATTCTGGAGTGGTCTAGATCATGTAAACGGTACAAGCCATTCTCATGTAAATGATGTGAGCCACCCAAACCTCATATGCGTGGCCTGCTCACGCGATATCCGATTCAGCTTTTCTGGGCGATTTTTCTTTTCACATGGCCATAGCGGGCTATCGGAAGTTGTTGATCAGACAATTTCGATGCTCACGAAGCACATACAATAAACTATTGATGTAGTGCTGCATTGATCAATATTGCTATGTGGACGAGCATTACATATAGAGCGGTAGCGCTGTGCAAACTATTTGTGATGCATCGCAGAGCCCCCCCTCCCCACTACCACCTATGTATGAAAAATGGACGAAGTCGTTCATGAATAATACATCCCTTTCCCTATCGCATGATATGGCATGTTTGGGCCTACGTGTCATTGTGTTATAACCTTGCAGACAATGTGTGATGCTTTCGACATCTCATTTGCAATGATCTTGAAAGTGCGAGGAATGTGCTGATAAGATATAGGAATTCGCAAATATCTTTACGGACCACATTTCTGGTGATAGATACGAGGTTATGGTGAAGCACACATTATCATTAGTGATAAAAAATACGCAATTGTAAAGTCAGGTGAGTCGTTTGCATTTTGGGCTTCGGATCGCAACGAATAGTATGGAGCTATACGAGCTTATGCATTCATTACTCTTTGACATTTCGCTTCTACTCATTTGCAGACTCTATTATACAATACTTTGAGTTCCTGCAAACTGAGCGACGCTTTGTGGTAGAAATTTACCCTTTTACAAAAAGGTGTGATATCTATACTCAATATGATCGCAGTAATACAAGTTGCTTTTGAGACTATGAATTACTTACAGCTAAACAACCAAGCCAGCTTGTACATACGCTATATCATGTGTAACAGTAGCATACACTGTTCTTCTCTACAGGCTTTAGGAGTGCTGGAGTGGCCACATAGCGAAACGCCTTTGCACCTTTTTTAGCCATCTGGTTCGTCTCCGTTCACGACTTTGACTCATATCTGGTGGCCCAAGCAGCTAAAAGTGCTCCACAAACTAGTCGCTATGTTTATCTATCATTTGGTCGATTTATAGTTGGACGGTTGATGACCAGCATCATACCGGTTAGCTAGACGTCAAGATTTAACGCTCGGCTGTATGTGGCATCGAGCGTCAATTTTGCCCATTCCTATGTAGATAAGAGTACGCACATCCTAATGAAACGCAATTGACAAGGGCGCACACTGCAAAGATAGTCTGACCCCCAGCATTTGATATAATAAATCTGACGTTATTTACCTTTTATCCTTACTCGTCCAATTCGAGGTGTCTGGTAAGAAGCATTCAAATCTCTACATTCGGTATCTCATTGGCTTGGTGTCCAAATTCTCGCAACGCTTCCATATGTAAGGCTTGTTCTTCGCAATCCAGGTACGATATGGTGTAATGATCGCTTGCTTCGCGAGCGTAAGCAGTGTGTTAAGTCTTTTTACTATACCAACCAATTCGCATTTATGTACACCCAGTGCTTCAAAACTATTCCATTTTTTGCTTACTGAAGATAAAAAAGTGCGTCCCATGAGCATAAAAATCCTTTTCAAATCAAAGAAATGTGGTACCTAACACAATGCAATCATTCGTTAGGGTTGTTATGACGGAGGGGTGGCTACATTCATGCTACCACAACTCCTGAAGCTACCTCGTCCCTGGTTTAATTCAATGGCTCGACCGATTGTTTTTCATCATTTGAATTTGAAAGTCGCTCTACAGAAAGTAAGTCAAACGCTCGGGAGCGTAAATTGCCCCGGCGTCCTGTACGAGTACGTAGAGCGTCTGCATCCACTCTTTGCTGCGAATTCACATTATTGCGAGGAATATGAGCTGCTGAGATTAGACAGGCTTCTAGAAAAATTGATTGCGAGGCAATCAGCTAGGCGAAAGGCACAACTAAACCAGAACGGTCGAACCGCGGAGGGATTACACGCCGACGTAATAGCTCAACTAGCCGACTTGGCTCGGCTGATGTGTTGCGTTTGTGCATTCAGCATGTAATGTTACAGGTTTGACTGACTTCAATACCATCGATGGCAATTGTTTTGGTTGATAGTCGGAAAGCAGTGCGATGTTAGTCACTATCGAACATCATCTGTAAAGGAAATGTTTCCCAATGTTATCCTTGTAAGATGCTGTATTTAGACATCATCTACTAAGATTTTACCCAGAGATAAAAAATGTAGGGAACCGCTATTCACCACTCACTATGAGCTCACCCTCCATTTTGAAGTATCGTGATAGGCTAACACAATTAAAAAGGGAGCCACCATTCACCGCTCACTTTCGCTAATTACCACTAACCCTCCATTTTACTGCAATTGTGATTGGCTAATTATATTATGAGAATTGAGCTCACTAGTACTAAACTGGCTCGCTCTAATTCGAACGCTCTATAGTTACACAAACTTCGACGTTTGATATTCACTTACACCAGCACGGACATATTGGTGCACTCCACTGGTCATTTGTGCAGCCTTTTTGAAAATAGGTAATGTATGAAGCACCTACCCACATCAATCGAGGAAAGAATGAAGCGCACATGAGCAATAAATTGGAAAGGGAAATTTCGTACAGATAGCGAGTTAACCGTGACCATCTAGATATGCTACCGGCAGCGAAGTTCTATAACCCATTGGCACAGCATGGACGCGGAAAACCTGTTTATACTTTTGGGCATCATCGCTAGGATTCCTGTTTCATAGTCTACTCAGCGGGATCCATCGCATATTAAAGTTGTGATGAAATCTCTGCAGCCTGTGCGTCAATGTGGCGACTGTGGAGAAGCAAGACACAGCACGAGAAGATATCGGCAACATCGTTTTCAACTCCCGCAGTGACTTCATTGGTAAAGTCCAACGCTCTTGGTGCCGAGGACGAATGGAAGCACTTTGGAATACCCACCAAAAGTATATTAGCAGTATGATTGCGCTTGCGTAGTCAACCAGAATAAAGTAAATATAAAAAGCGTTATAACACATGTCTACTCTTCAACAACTAAATGATTTTGCTGGGTAGGTTTGTATTTCATTTAATTCGTTTTATCATTTAAATTTAGCCAATTACAGCGCGAGAGTAGTATGCATAATATTCATAAATGGAGGGTGAGTGGTGGTTAGCGAAAATAAGTGGTGAATAGCGGCTCCTTATATGTAATGAAAATACCATGCATGTGTCCACCTCGTTACGTCCCGTGAGTAGCAAAGCAGCAATGGACGCATAACTTCTTGTTGGGCGATCATTTCCAGGTCGTTACATTTGCCAACTGACTGTAGTTTGTGTACAAAGAGACTTGATCGGGTGACGGGTTTGATTTTATTTACAAAAGGCCATTAAGCTTCTAGAATGCACCGCGGTACTGAGCGCGAAAAGTGTAAATTGTATCGAGGACGAGTCTGCGGGAGAGGCTAACTACACCGCGCGCCTATCCATTAGACTTAGTGTTTACATGACGACCGTGGTATCACATCCATACCACGTCAATTCGATTAACACAGTATAAGCTAAGTCGAAATGCACCTGTAACATAGCCACGTCAATTCAAAAAGTAATCCTCCGTTGTCCAATGCATGATGATGAGCCCTTCATCCACCTTTACGACTGCTGCTGCCACTGCTTCGGTCGTTGATGCTGGTACTAATTATGTCGTCGCTGACAATCAGGGTACGTTCTAAGTTGACGCTGGGAATAATCCTGACTGCCGCTGATCTCTCGTGGATTTGTGAATAATGTCCACCGGTCGGGTTTTTTGACAGTCAAAAGACGACTACAGAGGCTTTGAATCAGTACGCCGTACGCCAAGGCTTTGCTATTAGTGTATCCCGCAGCCGCTCGATTGGTGCCAAGCGCAGTTTTCTCACATGTTCGACAGGAAAAATAATACGAGACTTCACAGCAGTCGGTTCACGTCAATGCGAGATCGCGGAACAAAAAGAGGTTGGCCGTTCATACGAGCTCGTGGCTATGTATGACGAGTACGCTCCAGAAGAAAGTGCCGGGTCAACGCTTTGTGTGAACAACTCCCCGACCGGTCACTCCCGTTGTATCAGCAAGACCATACTCTCAGCGCTACCGGCGGCGCGACGTGCGACGATATGGATTGACGATATTAATTATAAGGTCGTCCAGATGCATCAAGATGGAGCTGCTCTACGGATATGTGTGCGTGTTGAAGTCATGTACAACAGGTAATTATTCTTTTTTGTCTGATAGTTCAGCCTTTTCAGACCGTAAAGTCTCCGCTGATGCCCCAGGTACCATTGCCACGGCGTCAGCTTCCTCTTGTGACATAGCAGTTATCCGTTCTCTTCAAGCTAGGACACGTGATTAAATGTTAAGCCGCGGGTGCATTTTCAATTATCTTGTTATGTAATTTATTTAAATTCGCGTAGCTTGGCTATGTTTCAGGTGCATTTCTACTTAGCTTATACTGTATTATTCGAATAGACGTGGTCTGGATGTGATACCACTTTTGTCATGTAAACAATAAGTCTACTGGATAGGCGCGCGGTGTATTCAGCGATAATGCCCGGTGCATTTAGCCTCTCCCCGAGTTTGCGCGTTTTAATCCAGAATTAGATCTTAACCAAGTATTTGCAAAAGTCGCCATTATCACGTTTGCATAGGGCAGTGAGCTTAAGTAAACAGCAATGGAAACGACAGTCATCTCAGCTGACTTATGCAACCGGATCAGAGTCCGGCTCTTCACGATTTGGCTGCCACATACGGGAGTGACGGGAACGGAAGGCCTTCGTCTGTCGCACAGAGGCCAAACGTTGCTCGAGAATGAGACAGCTCTTCCATATCATGAGCAAAGATTACGACTTAGAGCGCATCCGCTGCATGACTGCGTAAAGAAGGAACGAAACAGAAGGCCATAAGCGGAGGCTGAGCCCATGTCACATGTCGCCAGCCACACAAAACCAGTCAACGTCCTGCCTTCTAGCAGATTCCTTCTCGTCGGGATAGCCTCTCTTTGCGACGAATGTTCGCCATTTGCCAAGCTGCCGCCGGAAGCTCAACGCATGCACTGCACAGCTCTCGCTGTGCTGCTGCTGTATGCACTCGTTGTGCGCACTGCTGTGCTGGTAAGAGCCGACGCGGTCACGGGAGCACTAGTCCCAAACAAGACCACGTCCGGCGCGGAATCGTCGGCAATAGCCCGTGGTAAAGTCGCTACCGGGAAGTTCGCACGGCTTAACGAGACCGAGGAACGATCTCCTCCTGTCTCTCCGAACATCATGTCGCCAGCATGGTCCTCGTTCAACTCGTTGGAGTCGATGTTTTCGAGAAGCGCTCGCAGTCCTATGTTCTCTTCGACCAGCAAGCCGTCAGTTAGACGTTACTTCAAGTCGTTGCGGTCGCAGGCCTTGAACAGTATTCGAGCTCGTTGGCCGCAGGACAGAGACTTCGTAGTTGGTACTTTCAAGCGGTTTGAGCTCGACACTGGGCTGGAAGAAAATCTGTTCACCCCCAAGTTTAAGCGTTGGGTTGCGATTGTGGATCGCTACAATAAGCGCAATCCGAACGACATGGTGTCGGTTGCTGAGGTGCTAGCGAAGACGTACACGGATCTAAAACTGGTCCAAGCTTTTCGGGCGTCCCCAATTCCTAGAGACGCGCGTCGGTTGGTGACAAGATTGGAGATGCAACTGGTGAAATACTGGACGAAGAATAAAAAAACGTCACTCGACGTGTTCAAGCTGTTAAATCTTCACGTGGAAGGGAGCAACATTTTTGAGCGTCCCGAGTTGAGCCTGTGGTTTTTGCACACGGCGTTGGTGCATGTAAATGACCGCCAAAGGACCATGGCCAAGACTTTATTGACATGTTACACCTTGGAAGCCTTGAAGACCATGCACCAGGACTACATCATGTGGGACGTCTATAATTTGTTCGATATATGGGCGAGTCTACGAACTGTGCTCGCGCTGTGCAGTCCGCCTAAGAAGGCAGTTAACTTGCCTGGACAGGGCAAAGTCGAATCGCAAGCCGGTGGGCTACGAAAGATAAAGGAGAATGGGACGGTGTAGCAGTAGCTAGGTCTGCGGTCTGCCAACGAAGCGTACCGCAACGACGCATTATGCAAGAGGGCTTGGACACCCTTTGTAGATGCTTCGTCGAACTACTCGAGATCTGGACGATGTGGCAACTGAAGACGGCTCCTACTTAAACAGCAGCGCCAAGTGCAGACGCGGTAGATGAAACGTCGAGAAGTCACCAGAGTCGTCGCGCGTGAAGTTGACGAGTAATCTTCTTGAATACATCAGACCGAACAAACAGTCTTGTGAGCCGCTAACAATTCGTCAGACGAGCTGCGGAGGCACCATACCAGCTCGCTGGATGATCGACGTAGCTGTTTTCCTTCGTTGACTCAAAGAGCTTCGTCGCAGATGGCGCATGTCTCATGTACTTGATTGTTTCTCTAACTTTACGCAGCCTCAAAGATAAAGACAGACACAAATGCTTGCACGGTGCGCCCGGCGCAAACGACAGATCCCGTGAAAATGACTCCGACCATCGACTTGCACCGGTCTGTATTCCACTTCTCGTGGCGGACGTTCACGTAGGATTTTTCACACGACAAGACGTAGGAAATGAAAAGACCAACAGTCGAGCCCATGAAGTCCCACACATCAGCCGCTCCCGGCTAATTCGGTGCAACGGTGACAACACTGGCGGGCTGATGGGGTCAACAGGAGCTAGCACATGCACCACGCGAGCTCGAAACGTTGCTAGCATGAAGGCACTAGGTGTATCAATCGATGCAGGTGCAGATTGCTGGAAGTCAAAAGCGCGGTGGTCTCTCCGACCGCGTCTCTTTCTCGCAGGCCGTTCGAATCGTGTATCCACCTTTCGCATGACCTACAGAATGTGGCATATGCGGTCGCAATGGCCACCCGAGCAAGATGCTACTGCGACTTGAAGGCAATTGCCTATATCATGCGCAAGTGTGAGACGCTATTGAAAGTGCTTCGATCGCGTTGCTGGTCGTTCTCAAGCTCTCTGGTCGATGGTGAGGGAGATATGATGAGGACAATTTGAGCCATTCTGCATCTGTTGTACACGACATCGGAAGCGTCAGAAGTCGATGGCCATTCTCCTCGCTCTGCGGCAAGAGGAAGCTCTCTGCTCTCTCCTTATCTCATGTCTGTCGTCGCGTTTGTTAGTACGGTTGCGCACACAGGCACGACCAGCCTTCGTCTCTCTCTTTTCTCTCTTTCCACCCTTCGAGATACCAGCAACCCAGATACTGGATTTGCTGAGCATAGTAACTCCAGGCATTGGCAAAGAGCTGCTGGCTTGCGGGCAGTCTTGAAGCAATGCGCTTTCCAAGCTGAATTGCGACGTACTATGCTTTGCCGGTACACCCACTGCTTTGCAGGAACGACACCAAACCAGTCACCGCTTCCTTCCGTTGCAAAAAGTAGCTGCTGTTCAAGGCCGCAGCGCTTGCCACCAAACCACAAAGCGCTCCCATTCTCTGCGCTTCGTGGCGCTGGTCGATTACATCAAACATGGGCCGTACTTGCTTATGGCGTACTCACATAGGCAAACAAATGGTAAAATCTCACTGCCATGCTTCGCATTATTAGTGTTCGTCCATTCTCGACTCAATACAAAGGTTTACGTGTCGCGTAAGAAAGGAAAGCAGGTTTGATGTTGCTCTGAGCAAGCGTCCAGTAACCGACAACGCTGTGTTCGCACGAAAGTTGCACGATTTTATCAGTGCTTATAGCTCTACGACGCGATCACACACCACTAGACGCGGGATAGAAAGTGGCCGCCAACACGCTGCACGATGTCAAGCAGTGGCTGCACCATGTTCAAACAGCCTTATACTGACTGTCACAGCATTCACAGCAAGAGTACCTTACGCAAACAAAGCAGTGTCGACGGCTTTATCTTTCCAGTATGTTATTTTGCAGTCGAACGAGGCGTGTGAAATTTACGTCACGGCATTCCACACCAGCACGTCGCGGCGACGTCAGGTGAGAAACCCGTCTGCAGCTCAACTGACTATAAAAAGGGCAAGCAAGCACGTCATCGGTTCAGTGAACCGGACCGCTCGCTTCCTGCAACACGCGACCGCATGTTGCTCGAACGAAACCCGAAGCGAGGGACGCCGCAGAGCCAGGAGACGACAATGGTGAAGCCCGTAGTGAACGCCAATATGAACGCGACGCTGCGCGAGGTGGTGGGGCGTTTTGTGGGCGCTCCCCCGTCGCTCTCGCACAAGCAAAAGGTGCAGCGGCTGTACAAGCAGTCGCTCAAGACACTGGACTCGTGGGTCATCGACCGCCGTCTGTGGAACGAAGAGGCCACGAAGATTCGTGCCGAGTTTGACGCCCACAGGCCGCTGGACCCCGAATCCGGGTGCGTTTTATCGATCGTCTATGTCGTGTGGGCTCCGTAAATCGGAGTCGGTCGAGGTTTTATTGACTCATGTTATTGTTCTTCTTGTTTTTATTGTTACTATCGCTATTGTTATTGTTGCTATTGTTATTGTTGTTGCTATTGTTGGTATGATTATTTTTGTTGTTGTTACTGCTGCTGCTGCTGTTATTGTTGTTGCAAACGTGGTGCTGCTACCTTAGCCTTGCAAAGCGCCTAGTGCGCGAGGCGCAGGAAAAGGTGGCTCACTACACGCATCCGGACCGCTATATCTTCAACTACATGCCTGGCGGCACTCTTTACATGCGCAATGCGCCGATTCCACTGGACGTGTGCTTCCCGGACGGAAAGATCCCGGACGACGTGGAGCTGTCGCCTCTGGAAGGAATCAACATTGACATGACGCCGCTGCCTGCGAAGGAGACGGTGTTTGTGGACTTTTCGAAGAAAGGCTACGACTAAGGGCTCGCTCTCTCGTCGCTGATGAAGCAAGTTAGGTGTTTGATTGGACCAAGTGGACATGGAGCGAGAAGTGTTTACCTGTGGCTACTGACACAATACAAGAAGATTCGGGTAAAACCATTGGTCTTTGGGTGCTGGACGTGTTTGATGTGCCGTTGTGGTTTGAGGGTAGTTGAGCTGGTTGCAAATGCCACACGTGATCACAGCAGTGCTCGGACGTAAGCCGCAGAAGTGGACAAAGGCCGCAAGAGTTGGACCGAAGTTTGACTTGCTGAGGGAAACCAGCGTCGACCTCAAGCTGTTTCTTCTCCGCAAGCCACCGACGTCGTCATCTTTCGTGGCTTCTAGAGACTACGCGATTTACGCGGTGGTGATTGCTGCACTGTGACGTTCAGCGAGTGAGTTGCTGACATTGTCTTGATCGAGTCGGTCGAGTCTGTGTCCCAAGCCGAAACGTTTGACATGCAGCTATGGACTCGTTTGCCAAGCGGTGTCACGCCATGTGGTACGTGCACGTGGCGAACAAAACCCGTACGTCATCATTTTCGAGCGACATATGTTTCACCCCATACAACGGATTCCTGCGACGCTGCAAACCTGTTGCTCATTCAGCTTTACGCGATCGTTTCGAACGACCTGTGTGCACCATTCATTCCGTCGAAACTCTTCTGCCGGCTATGGGAATGCTAGTGCTCTGGCAACTCACGTGGGTGCTAGCTCTGGTTGCTGCATTACTGTCGTTCCGAAGCGAGTTATGTCGCGGATTTGTCTTGCAGGGCAAGACACGCACTTTGGCGCGGCTTCCCCCTCTGCGGCTGTTGCATGTGGAATTGCCCAAGAGCTACTGGACGTGGTTCTACCTCATTGGAGCGATACACAGCAATGGTATCGTGCTCGCTATGGTGTGTTGGCAAAACACAAGAGTCGTCCAATGCGCGCTTCACGTCGCCCATCCCGCGCCGACGGTCCACGAAGAGGGCACTGGTATTACGATCCAGCCACACGCTATCGCGTTTCTTATGCTGTTTGCAGCGCATACGACACGGCGCGCTGTCGAGTCTGTCCTGGTCACGGAGTTTGGCACTGCCAAAATGCATGCGAGTAGTACGTCGAAACGTGCTGCTTTTTGTATTCGCATTCGCGGGACAAGTGGGCTGGTTGGTTGACTGACTGACACACTGTCGGTGCTCCCAGTACTTTTCGTAGGCATGTACCACTACGTGGCCACGCCTTTGTCGGTCCTGTTCGATCCAGACGCGACCACGCCACACTCCGATACAAACGGTCGTCGACTACTGACTGGACTCGGTATACTGCTTTTCGTCGTTGCGTCGTACCATCAGATGCGCTGTAACTCGCTGCTGGCCAAGCAAAAGCGTGCGAACAACATGGTACATGTGGTTCCCCGCGGTGACTGGTTCAACGTGGTGCGCAGTCCGCTCTACGCGACGGAAGTAATGCTGTACGTGAGTTTCGTCTTGGTCACTGGCGGCACGACCGCCATGCTCTACCTCGTGGGTGCCTGGGTGATGGCCAATCAAGTTCTACTCGCCCACCTCAACTCGCAGTGGATCGAAAACAAGTTCCGCGATCGACAAGATGAGCTGCCCAAGTGGAATCTGATTCCGTTTATTTGGTAAGTAATCAACATATCGTCCAGAGCAGACGAGAGCTATTCGTTCGATCCGATCACGTGTTCATCGTCCACTCTGCGCCCTCTGTTCTTGCTCCATCTCTTGCTCACTCGTCCGCCTCGTGCTGTTGTTCCTCTTCCTCCTTCCCTTCCTCTCTCCTCCGTCCTCTCCTCTTTTCTTCAACGACGGCGCATCTGTCTCTTCCGCCTCGTCCTCTTCACTGCCACTCTCGTCACTGCTCCTTTGCTCTCTTCCTCCCTTTTTCTCGCTGTCGCTTCTTCGTCTTCTCGTCTCCTCCACTCTCGTACTCCTTCTCCTCTTGCTCGGTCGCCCACACCTGCTTCTTCTTTGTCTCCTCCCTCTCTTCCCTCGCTAGCTGAATCCGAGCCAAGTACTGCCCGTACTTGTTGCCAAAAATGTTATAGTATCCTCCCGGTCCAGACGCACAGCCGCGACAGCCACTGTGTTTTTCCTGGACAACCTGTCCCTCGGACAGCTGCTGCCTCGGGACGCGACAGATACTGACTGTCCCGTAGTTGTAGTTCTTGGGATTGATGGCAAACGTACTGCAGAGCCGCTCGTAGCCCCTTTTCTTCCACTTGGCGATCAAATTCGCGTCCACGAATTTGCACTGTACGCAGTAGTCGTACACTTTTCGAGAAATCTTGTGGTACTTGTAAAACATGTCGTAGACATAGCGACTGCGTTGCCAGTTGATCTGATGCACTGGCCACAGCGCCTCGCACTGCCGCTTCCCTTCGTGCGGCTCGTTCATCTTTTCCCGCAGCTCGCGCTCCAGCGCGTCCAGGACGGGCTGAATGTACTCGAAGCCTGGAGGTGGTCGGTGCTTTTTGCTCCACTTGGACATATTGAGATTAGTGGCTGGCTATTTGATGAACTAGGAGGGCTAGAACTAAGAGGGCTAGAACTAAGAGGGCTCGAACTACAAAGGCTCGAACTACAAAGGCTAGAAATAGGAGATCTTGAATGGGGGGGCGGTGGATTCAGAATCTGGCCAGGGGGTTCTAGGTCAGATCTGGAGACTGACAAAAGCGAGAACATCTGATTCGACCGAGTTGACGCGAATCGTCAGTTGTGCTCGTGCGTGCGAAGACAGCTGTACAGACAGACGCACAAGAGCTCTATGATGCGCGGCTTCTGCATGTTCAACGAGCCATTTCTGTGGTTGTTTTTGACTGCATCGTCGCGTCGCGTCTAGTGCCTTTTGCCTTTTTCAATGCAGTAGTCGCGCGCATGTTGTACCCATCTGGACGAACGGCAGATCGATGTTTCTCGAAAGTGCGATCGCTCGCGCTGCCCGTCGCTCGTCCTCTTCTACGTAGTGGCCACGTCAAGAATCGCTCGTCCTATCGCACGATACAGCGCCTACAGCTCGCGATTTGTCACCACTGGATGCGACTTCCACGCAATCGATTAGTCGTTGAAGCATGAGCACAAGTGCAGTTGCTACCGCAGCTTTCGTAAACACGAGGACAACACGCACAACCGCATCGTTTTCCTCCATCGTGCGGCTACCACATGCACCACAAGGACTCGAGACGGCACTGACCGTTGCGGTTCATTCTGCAGTGCCGTTGCAATCTTACAAGCCGAAGTGACGCAGTCGTAGACCCAAAGTGAAAGCACTTGACAACCCCATCCGTGTGCCCGTCTTCGCGTAGCTTGTCAGGTACTCACGCAGGACGGAGTGATTGGCTGAAGCCTGTGCACTTCCGAGGGTCTACCCATCCAGCCAACTTGATGATGTAGCTGCTTGAAACGTACGACAAGAAGGTCTGCTGAGTGTGGCCATAGCCAGGAAGAACGGGTCAGGGATCATATGCAGTGAGAAAGCGGACGACCCGACACAAGTGCAGGCGATGGATGCAATAGGACACACGTGAGCTGAAACAAAAGCCGTTTGCCAATGCGTGCTGGACGCAAAGGGTTGCAATGGGTACGTGGGATGTGTACGTCGCTGCGTCATACATCGCACGTTCGTCACTAGAATGTGTCAAGACACTTTAGTGTATCATTTACATCACGAACGAGTTGCGCGGTACTGACATGACCAGCCGCAGGGTCAACACTACCATTGTGAGCACTGCGAGCAGAGATATGGGGTGTCAGCGACTGCTAATGCCCGCACGATCTCGCGTATACTTTTGCGTTCCTTTCCAATGACGTTTTTTGTCGTAACGATCGTTTGCACTTATTCGAACAGAGAGTCTTAGTACGCGCAGATCAACGAGTGTGACATGGTCGATGGCACGGCTTTCAATGACTGATACTCGCGGCAGCCAATACCAATCGTAGGCGAGAAAGCGAGAGGTGGGAGCAGAGGAGGAGAGGAAGAGATGGCGAAAGACAGAGACGGAGCGGTCGTTCAAGTCCACAAGCCGCCAAATTCGAGGCCGAAGGGTCCCGACCTTACTACTGCATAGCGTATTGTCACTCACGATCGTTGCCGTTACAGTGTTGACGCTTGCCGTTCAGCCCGTTACTGTTCGAAAGCTGATCCGGATGCGGGTTTGTGGCTTGCGAGGCTTTTGCCGAAATCGGGCCGAGTGATTACGGAAAGGGCCGTATGATGACGTTCGCTGTTGATGCGAGCGAAGTCCTCTCATGGGCGAAGCGACGGGGCGGGGGGGGGGCCATTGAAGATCGGGGAACGGAAGAGTTGACACGGACGCGGTCGTGCTTTCCCACGCGACAAGTACCGTGCGGCCCCGCGAAAGGCGTCTCGAGTTCAGTAGCGAGAGAGAGAGAAAGAAGAGAGAGAGAGAGAGAGAGAGATAGAGAGAGAGAGAGAGAGAGTGTTGATGTGTGTGTTGATGTGTGTGTTGATGTGTGTGTTGATGTGCGTGTGAGAGAGAGAGTACCTGCGAGTACCTGACGGTCGATTCACGTCCAGGGATGATGATGATGATGATGATGATGAGCGACATGTCTGGAGCTTCTGAAGAGCGAGAAAGCCGAGGGCGCGGGACCCAGTGATGCGTCATCCGTGGTCTCTGGAACTGAGATGAGGCGAGGCGTCGAGTAGGGAAAGCGCCTAACACGGACCATTTACGCGTTTTGAGAGCGACCGCGTTACTGCTGCAACAGCGCCGAAAGTGAGGAGAGTGCTCCCGTCACTGGCGGTGGGGCTCCCGATGTAGCTGCCCACAGCCAGCCAGTCAGCCAGCCAGCCATGGGTCGGTTCTCCACTGCTTCCAGCCAAAGTGGGTGCGACGAATCCGTTTTCGCTCTCTTTTCTTTCCTTTCCTCGCACGGACGCGCCGCAACTAAGTGTAGAGACCGCGTCTTCCACGTGGGTTTACCGAAGAGCCCGTGTAAAAACACGAGACTGCTGCGTCGGCCGAGCGAGCGCATCGGATCGAGCAACGTCCGACATGCAGCTTGAGGTTCCAGTCGCTCGGTGCTTGACTGGGCGCGTTGCACAATGAGGCACATGGCCCAAGCACGAGACACGACGATCGCTCCGCCGGGCAGTCAGTCAGTCAGTCCGTAGTCGTATCCTCCCGCCCACATACGGGATCGTCCACCTCCACCAGTGAGACCATCTCGAGATTCCAATACAAAAGAACGTCAAGAGCGCTCATGAAGGACGACCAGCCACGTCCCTCCCCCCCCCCCCCCCACGACCGCATGGCGCTGTTGCTCGGCCTCCAACGCGAGCACTTGTTTGCAACCCACGGAGCCGGCGGCGCTGCCATCGCCCGATCGTCGTGGCGTAATCGTGCGCCGTTGATTTGCACAGCTCCGTCGTCCCAATCGGATTCCACCGCTCGGCCGCGGCCCGCGACACATCAACTCGCCGCTCTCTCGCGCCACCACCTGCGAGGCGTCTCCTCTGGTCCCGATCGCCGACGAAAAGAGCCACTGCCCGTCGTCTCGAACCGAACGAGCGAACCCCTTTGCACAACACGCGCGTCGACACAGCTGCTGGGCGCTCGGCTGCTGTCACTGGCCCCAAGTGTTTACACGGCGCACAAAGGGACGCAGCTGCGTCGTCGTGCTGCTGGTGGTCCGTGATGCCCTTGGGACACACGCGAGTCGCCACCAGTCCCTCCTCTCCTCCGCTCGCGGTTGCCGTCATCAATTCCCCACCCACGCACCCACTCCCTCCCACTCACTCACTCACTCACTCACTCACTCGTGCGGCGACCGCCACGTGAACTTGCCGTCACTCACAACGCAACCCACTCGACGTCCGCCTCTCTTTCGCGCGCACGTGTACGGCCATTCCCCTTCTCGCCGAGTCCACTCCACTGTGCCGACAGCTGTGTTGACAGCGACGCACTCCTTTTCTTCCGCGACGGCAATGACCGCACCGTCGCTTCGGACGGCCGTCAATAGCAACAGCAGCAGCAGCAGCAGCAGCCTCACGTCGTCGTCCACGTCGTCGTCCACGTCGTCGTCTAGTCACGTCTTTGGTAGCACAGCCACCTGCACGGACCTGTACACGGAGCAAGTGATGATCCCCCGCGTCGCCCTCGTCGCTGTCCTCACGGGCCTCTTCGTGCTCACTCTGCTGTGCCGCTGCGGCTGCGGCAGCTCGCGACGGCAGCGCCTCGTGAACCCGTTGCCCACGACGCCCGTCGCGCGACAGGCGGCGTCGGCCACTGACCCTAAGACGACGGGCGACCCCACGCGCTACAAGCGGTGGCTCACGTGCTTTCTCGCGTCGACCGTCGCGTGGATTGCGCTCTTCCTGTGGTCCAGTGGCCCCTCAAGTGCAGTGACGCTGTCGGGTGCGGCGGCGGCCACCCGACACCCCCTTACCACGCGCCCGCGCGTCGTCTTTAGCTTCACGACGACGTCGGACGGCATTGCGCAGATCCGCCCGACGCTCGCGGGCCTCGTGCACCAGACCGACGCGTTCGCCGTCGTGTACGTCGTGATCCCGCGGACGTACCGCAACGCCGTCGTGGCGATCCCCACGTGGCTGCTCGCGCCCGACACGACACTCACGCGGGCGCACGTTCACGGCGTCTCGTTCGCCACGGGGCCGAGCGCGTACCACCCGACCGTGCGCCTCGTGGTGCTCGACACGGACTTTGGCCCGGCAAGCAAAGTGCTGGGCGCGCTCTTGATGGAGCCCGAGCCCGAGACGGTGCTCGTCTACGGCGACGACGACCGCGTGTACCCGCCGCAGCTCGCGGAGCGCGTGCAGCACTACACGCAAAAGTACCCGCACGACGCGATTGCGGTGCTGGGCGGGTGGATCTCGGCCGAAGACGGGCTCTACTGCGGCCGGAGCCTCGCGATTGGCGTCAATCAGGTGTCGTTCGTTGGCGGGGCCGGGGGCGTCGCCGTCAAGCGAAAGTTCTTTGGGATGGGCGACGCGACGGCAGCCGCGTTCCACGTGGCCAACATGTCGCGCGCGTGTTTCCTCGGCGACGACTACTACTTGTCGCACTTGCTGAGCCGCCGCCACGTGCGGCGACGCCTCGTGTTCGATAGCTGCTGGAACATGGAGACCGTGCGCGAGTCGTTTGCGAACGGCGGACTCTCGCGGGCGCCGTCGCGGCACGCGGGCGGCGCGAACGTCGAGCACTACCAGCAATGCATCCGCGAGTTGGGCGACGACCACGACCTGTCTCGGGACGGCGAGTTTGGCGCGAGTTACATGTTTGTCTTTTCGCGCGTGTGGGGTCTCGTGCGCGGCGTGTGGAATCTGCACGCGGGCAGTGGCTTCGTCACGTGTTGAGGCGACAGAATGAGAGAGAGAGAGAGCAATGTGTCTTGTCACATACGACTCCGCCGGAGCAGTAACGCCCTATCGACCACCAATGTGTGCTACGGCGAGCCCTGTGCGGACCTCGGCGGCCCCCGCTCGTCCGCAGAGGGGACAACCCCCTTCGAGCAACGGGGTCCCCGTACTTTGACCACGGGCAAGTGAAGTTGGCTCTCGACGCGGGCACGAACTGCACGGGTCCAGTTGTCGTCGTGCTGAATACGACCGCAGGCCATGTGCTCCGCGTTGCCGACAGTGGTCTGGACAATGCCGTCACGTCTCTTGCAGTGCCCGAGGCGTCAGTGGCGATAACGCACGCAACGAGCGACGGTTGCAAATGCTATGGTCCACGTATGTCTGCGTGGTAGTAGAGCTCCTCACTCGGGCGGGTCTTGAGCGTAAACACACAAGTGAAGCTATTCAACACAGCGCCGCCTTCTTCCGTTCGGTTGTCTGTCTGTGTATGTGTATGTGTACGTGCATTTGTATGTGGAGCATAAGTTATGGTGACATGCAGCGCTGCATCGCCGAAACTACTCACAATGGCGTGACGCTGCGACTGCTGGCGGGTCATGCAGTACCTACCTACAGCATGTACCCGCCTGTCTTGTCCTGCCTTTGACGTGACGATCCCAGCGCGCGCGCCCGACGTAGGTTTTCCGTGCGCCGCCTGAGATATGCGGTCGTATTCTTGTACAATAAGTACCGTGACGCGGTCTTGTGCAATGGCCTCCGACGAGGTGTGCGCAAGCGACCAGTCGGTCGCTTGGCCTGTGCCACGTGGCGGTGTCGCTCAGTGTCTTTGCAATTGCCAGTCTGACTCGGATCATGTCGAGTCGACACCTCCGCAGCAGTAGCTGACAACGGCTCGGACGCCTTTGTGCCTGTACTCGCAGTCGAGTGCGTGACCCGTTTCCTCGTGATCGCCGCTGCGTGGGCGTGCGCACTCGTGACTTTATGTGGCAGTGGTGAGAAGGTGCTCCCGAGTCGACTGCCTGTTGTCCACTCGAAATGCCGGCGAGCAGCGCGCTCAAGTCGATCGGACACGTACGCATCCAACAGCGACGACGTCACGAAGCCAACATCAGACATTGGCTTCTGCACAAAGCGACATGTGTTGTACGGGGAGCACATTGTAGCAGCAGCTGCTTCGAATGTCCACGTTGCTCGCGTTTGCTGCAGGCGGAGACGGAAGGGAACGTGACTCGGTGGCCACGTGACAACGAGAACGAGCGACACTCGAACGCCTCGGCACGCAGTTTCCATCTGCAGCCGACTTGATTCGAGAAACACTCTTCTTGGCGGTACATTGGCACGATGGACAATGCCCCACTCGTCGTCACTATCGTCGTCGTTGTTGTCGTCGTCGTCGTCACGCGCAGACGTGACTCGAGTCGCACATCTGAGCACATGTTTTGCGTGAAAACGACCGACTTACTAGACGCGCACAACACTTTGGCCATCAAAGTCACCAAAGAAGAGAACGTAAACACACGGGACGACGTACTGGGACGAACGCGACTGTTTCTTCCGCCGCAGCAACGAGGAGACGATGGAGTTGAGCGTCAGGCACATGACCGCTAGCTCACGCCTTTTCCGCCGCGGTGGGGCAGCTAGGAAGGACATACACATACACATGCACATACACAATCTGTCAATTCAAATACCGAAACGACGCGCCGTTTTATCGAGTCGACCACACCTTTGCGTCACGCTGAACTGGCAGAACAATCGCTTGACCGAAGGAGAGGGTGAGTGGCGTCGCTCGAAGAGTACTTTGATATCGACGGACTGGGGCTGATATTCGCTGTTCTTGATCAGTGGAGTTGTTTGCTCAATAGCACAAGCTCACTTCGACGTGGAGCTGGTGTGCTTGTTGGCAACCAGCATGTGCTTGGGCAGAACTTGTCGCTTGCAGTAGCAGACACGCACTTTTCTTGTCAATGTGACCTCTGGACTGCCACGAGGCTTTTGCTGTGGTCTGCCATCCGCTCTGTTGCTGGACTACAGTCGCCGCATTGCAGCTGCTGTTCGACAGCAATTTCTACGTCACTTGACAGTGCATACTGTGTGTGTAGCGCTGGTGCATTTTGACCGTCACGCATGCAGCTGCTGTCATGCATTCAACCAGCACACCGTTCACGCGCGTACGCTTCGTGACACACGACGAAGCGGTTCGCTCCATCTTGTTTGACTTGCCTTTTGTACTTTCTCAGCAAACGTGCATTCGACGTGTTTGTTGTAGGACTTACTATCTCAAATAGGTGCTGAGTTTCGATCTACCGGCGTGTTGCAGTCGCTGCATGTTCGTTCTAAAGCGCGTGAAGGCGCTCGACATGTAGGCGATACATCTTGCTAGGCTCGACTACAGTCATATGTAGTAATGACTCGCAACTCTTGTCGTTATCGATAGGCGACAAGTGTGTTTGACCACAGTGTACCTATCATGACAAAAGATCGAGCGTCTGAAGGTGTGGCGTTATCGGCACAATGACAAAGCTCGTTGATGCGCGGTGATACTGGTCGCAGACCAACACTTCTTGCACATGGCACCTCTGTGTTGTGGTCGGACATGTGGCTCTTGGCCGACGCCTGAGCGTACCTGCTCATCAGCATGAGTGAGATTGCGTGAAGTACTGGAAGTGCAAAACAGGGTGGCCACTGAAACGGTAAACAAAAGGCTGTGTGTTGCAAGAAGTCAGGGACAAGTTGGAGAGACGCCATTTGACCACGAGCAATGCTGCTGTACCGCAGCTACAAAGAGCGTTGCCAGTGAATATCGCGTGGCTGTGAAAACGCCTGACGATCGCTTCATTCTTTTTTGCTCGACTCATTTTTTTACACCTGCGCACAAAAGACGCGTTTGGCCGAAAATAGCGCGTTTCAATCAGAGCCACATTCCCGCAACATGTGTTGCATGCCACAAGCTCGTTTTAAGTGTTGCTGTGTGCCGTTCGTCTCTTTTCTAGTTTCCAAATTAACAACAGAGTTGCATAAACGTGACACCTACACTTGACATTCGTCCGACACTCGTGCCAGCTACGCATAAACGCGACCTGAAGTCCACTAAACTAGAGAAAATAGCCCGTTACAAAACGAGAAAAGCTAACCAATCACATGCGTGCCTCCTCGATGCGCGCATCATGCGACAGCTGGCACGCTTCCAAACGGAATAAAATACATACCACAATACATTCGCCCTCTGCAATCTTATAGCTTCCTTCGACAATCACGCTCAGTCCCCCCCACGTAACCCATCGTCGCGCATACCCACATGTTTGACCCTCCAGTTGACTGACTGGCCACTACGAGTCCGACGAAATGCCATCGCAAGTGGCCGAGGCGGTCGTCGCCCACCCCACGCACGACACGACGCCGAGCTTCGAGCAGCTGCGCGACGCGCTCCTGGACCTGTCTGAGCCCGTGGGTAAGCGCACACGCGCCATCTTTTACCTGCGCTCGCGCGGTCGCCTGGCGGACCTGCAGGTGTTACTGACGGCACTGCTGAACCGCAACGACTCGGAGCTGGTGCGTCACGAATTGGCGTATGTGATTGGTCAGCTCCAGATGACGGAAGCCTGTGACACGCTCGAGCACGTGCTGGCAGACGAGACGGACGACGGCATGGTGCGGCACGAGGCGGCAGAGGCGCTCGGGGCCATTGGGGCCGAGCGGTCGCTCGCGGTACTTCAGCAGTACAGCGCCGACGCGGTGGCTGAAGTAGCGGAAACGTGCAAACTGGCGGCCAAATTGATCGAGTACAAACGGGCCAAAGCCAGTGGCGAGATCAGCGAGCGCGAGGTGGACCGCAATCCGTACTTAAGCGAGGACCCCGCCCCGGCCGCGGAAACGAGCGTTTCGACGGCGGCGCTGCGCGCGATTCTATTGGACCACTCGGGCGATCTGTTTGCGAAGTACCGCGCGATGTTTTCCTTGCGGAATCGGAATACAGAGGAAGCGGCACTGGCTCTCGCGGATGCGTTCACGGACCCGAGTGATCTGTTCAAGCACGAGGTGGCGTACGTGATGGGTCAGATGGAGAACCCAGTGGCTGTGCCGGCGCTGAAGAAGGTGCTGCTGGATGAGACGCAACACCGCATGGTGCGGCACGAGGCAGCTGAGGCACTGGGAGCGATTGGTACGGCCGAGTGCGAAGCGATCCTGACGGACCACCTCCGAGATACCGTTCCCGTCGTGCGCGAGAGTTGCGCCGTTGCACTGGACATTTTAGACTATTGGGCACCTACGAAGTAGGCGCTTGGCGGATTGTATGCAGAGCTCACGTTGGGCGGATGTTTTGGATCCTTTCGACGGTTTGTTTTTTATATCTTTGCTTTGGTTTGTGTGTGTGTGTGTGTGTGTGTTTCGACATGAACAGCCGAGCGCTCCTGATCATGTCGCCTTCTTTTTCGTCCTACTTAGTTGTACAGATAGCCGACGTGCATGCGGTTGAACGTCCGTAGTGACGACGGCAGCACTTTCGAGCTCGTGTGCAAGCGATCGGCAATCGTGAGGCACATGGCTCGCGGCAGGGAGACGGTGTGCGAAGGCAACAACCCACGACGACCTGTTGACGTTGGTGGAGGGCGACCGTATAGCACCTTCAGGACGCGTCGAAAGGTCTTCGTACCCTGCTGCTTGATCATCGTCTCCCAGCTCAGCAGCTGTAGTTGCAAGATGGCATCGCTAGTGTCGCTTTGCGTTCCACACGACAGGTCGTAATTGCGCGTGTCGTGTGACGGTGTCAAGACAAACCGGAACACTCCATCCGAGTCGGCCATTTCCAACAACTTGGCGCTCACAATGCTGTCGATCGTGTACTTGCCAAAGACATCGACTTCCTCCTGGTCCCCTAGTAGCTCCACCCGGTCCTCTTTCGCACGGCCTCTTCTTGACAATCGACGAGCAACAAGGACGTGCTTGTGCAAACGGACGGTCTCAGGCTGCTCCACACTGCACAGCCCAATGCGCTCAGCGCATGCAGCACAAGTTAGCGGAACCCACTCGCGCTCCTCGTTTGCATCGTCGCCAGGTGCAACAGCCGCCTCGCCCTGACGATCTGCCACCGCCGCGCCAGCCGTCAAGTCGCCAGTGTGCAGCAACAGATACGACTCCCCAACGAGAACCCGACGGCGCTGTGCTTGGATATCGTCGCGCGGAATGTGCTCAAACGCTCCGATCCCAGCGCCCCAAAAGTCAAACATGTCCATCCAATTCGCTGACGGAAGTGGCAGCACCTTGTCCAGCTTGCCACTCTTCGCACCGTCCAACAGCAGAGCATTGCACGTTCGACAGCACACGGATCCGTAGCTCTCCAGTTGTAACTCGAGAGGAGACACCATCGTAAACGACGAGAAGCCGCCTAGCGGCTGTCGGTCACTCAACCGAATGGGAAGTCTCAGGTACCAGTGATCGCCCTTCTCCTCGACACTGCACAGCGTGACATCCACGTGTCGCTCGATATCCGTTTGCCAAACGACCGCGTCCACACTATGATCGCTGTACCTGAGTTGTACGTGTGGAAATGCCACTCGAACACTCAAATGCTCGGCCGTCCAGACCGTTGTCGATTTGTAGCCACCTCGACTGCTATCGGTCGGAAAGAGGAAACACTGGTAACATCCGATATTGGCGTTGTATTCGACCAGCGAGTCGACCGTTCCGAGCTCTAGTGGCCACTCAGTGACGGGATCACGTTCCTTCACGCTGAGGGCCTTCCGACAAGTGGCTACACCGTCTGCTGTTGCCTGCACGACCTCGTTCTCACTTGCAAGTGCACCATCGTCTTTCATCGTCTGAGCACCACGATCCACGTACACCGACGTCTATACGTTGCAGCCAGCGCGTGCGTTTGAGCAATCGCACCTGCTGCAGCGGCTTGTGGTCTCGGCGTGTTTGTATGATTACAGCGAATCGCCCAAGATGGCTACATCTCGGAAGGTCCGATGCTGGGTTTAGTGCATGCTAAATGCGATTCTCAAACCCGAGTCCATCGATCTATACTGTCGAACTGGAGAAGAAGGAGAGCTGTTCCATGGACCGCAGCAATCACTGGTTGTTGGCAAGTGCCGACCGATGCACGCGATGACAGGTGTTTGTCTCGTGCATTTGCGCTGCCGATCAATCTCGCGCCCTTCAATGCGTTGGCAGAAGGTCTGCGCCGGGCAACTGCGCCGATGTTCGAGAGACTTTTGTTGGCAGCGGCCTCAGCACCGCACAGCCAAAAAAGAACGGCGAGAGCCAGCGTTTGTAATGGTAAAAAGGCTCAAGACGAATATGTAACAAGTGGGCTGCGTACCACCGCTCGATTCGGGCAAAAAACTGTCTTCTCTCCACGAGCACACAGTGCTTGCCGTCCATTGTTTTCCAAACCCACGTAACCACTTGAGTGCTATCGTCATTCAGTTTCTTCTGCTGTGTGCAGCCCCAAGTCCACAAGTGCGCACACCCACGCGCCAAGTTCAGAAAACCTCAAGACGCTTTTTCCAGTGTACAAACATCCACTACAGTGAGCAGTACCTATTAACGACGTCGCCCGCACTCGAGCAACCGCCGTCTACCTCTACCTCTCCTTCCACTTCTTCTTCTTCACTTCTCCTCTCTACCGTCTCACCTGCCACTCTCTCTTTCTCTTCTCTCTCTCTCTACATCCCAAGTGCAAAAAGAGAGAGAGAGAGATAGAGAGAGAGAGAGAGAGCGTGCGTTAGAAAGAGCGCGCAAGCAGGACGTTCGACCCAATCATTCGACCGTGAAGACGTGGTCTTTTCGTACCAAACCCGGCGCCGGCTTCCTCGCGTTTCGTCCAATCACCGCTCGTCGTGTGGTCCACACCGGCACTAGTCAGTCGCACCCTCGTGCGTCTCGCCCTCGTCGCCGTCGCTGTCGCTGTCGTCGTGAGGGCTCAGAGACGTTCGAGCGCTGGAGGTCTCAGCCACGCGCCGCCCACGTGCACACCCGCCAGACGCACTGCGTCGCCCACGCGCCCGTGCAATGGCGTACCTGACCATGACGCCCGACGATATCCAGGGCGACTACTCGTGCTCAGTGAACGTCGAGGAGTACCGCGTAAGTAGCCACAAGAAGGTCGAGTACAAGGTCGTGGTCCAGCTGTCGTTCTACTCGTCGCGGGCACACGCCACTGGTCGCACGAGTTGGCACATTTGGCGCAGTTTCTCCACGTTCCGACAGCTCGACGAGCAGCTCCGCAAGCGCAGTGCAGCGCTCATGAAAGGCGTCAAGTTCCCGCCACTGTATCGTCGCCGGGCGCTGTTTCGGGCCGACAAGAGCCTCGCGTTCCTTGGGGCACGGGCTCGTGAGCTCGACAATTACATGAACGTCGTGACGCACAAACCGCAGCTCGTGGCGTTCCACGTGGCCGCCGTGAGCAGTCAGACGCTCAAGACCTTTGTGGGCTTCACCGCGGGCTTTGGCGCGAACGCGCAGTACGACCAACAGGATGTGCACCTTCGGCCGTCGTCGTCGCTCTTGGCGTCGTCGGCGGTCACACAGGCGACGGCCAGTGTCAAGGGCGACGACGAAGACGACTTTCGCTCGGTCTCGAGCGTCTCGACCGTCTCTTCGTTTGCATCGATGGCCAGTGACTATCGCTGGTCGGGCACGGGCTTCGTTGGCAGTCAAAGCTATGCACGCTATACGGGACCACAGCCACACATGGGTGGAGGCAGCACGTCGTTCACGAGCAGTCAGAGCTCGTTTGCAGGCTCCGTAGGATCGTCGAGAGGAAGCTGGTTTCCTGCATCGTCAAGTGTGTCGAATACCTCTGGACGCGGGTCCGTGGCGTCGGTCCCGCGAAGACCAATGATGGCGGCGACAGCGTCCGATGTCATTACGCCAGAGCTGGACATGCAGAGAGCAAAGATGGAGGACCGACTTGTGCAAATGGGACTTGTGGGCGTCGGCATGCCACCCGATGGCTCTTGTTTGCTGCACTGCATCGTGTACGAGATGTACCCGCTGCAGTGTCTGCGGGACTACCCGGCAAGTATGACGGTAGTGAATGTTGGCGCTGCGGACGGCATGGCCCCTCGACGGGTGGCCGCTGCGCAATTTTTGCGCGTCAAGTTGATGGAGTACGCGCTCAAGCACATTGACAAACTAGCGGGCTTCCTCATGCAGGACGTGGACGACGTGCAAGAGCGGTACGAGACTTTTCGAAACACAGTGGACGAGCAGGCTACGACAGCCGAGTTGTATGCAGTGGCGAGCATGTTTAACGTCGAGCTCGTGCTGATTTCGAACGACGAGGGGTTCCTGATTGACCCTGTGGTCCCAGTAGAAGGTCTGCCGTCAATACGCGAAGGTCCGCGGCGTACCGTCACACTAGGATACCTCATCCCGGCCGATGGACTGGCGGGCCACTACATTTGTACACGCGAGAAGCGGGCTCAAACCGGCATGGCTCAAAACACGTTTGCCGGGGGAAGTTATCGTGGATCGATCCACATTGGACCGCCGAAGGGTATGAGCTGTGGCGCTTCGAGCAATCGGCGCTTTGAGCGGATTCCGGAGCAGAGAGTTGAATAGGGCTGCAGGTAAACCCACCGGCAGTGGCAGGATGATGCATGGAAGTATCACCATCAACACATGACACTTATCAGCGTACAACAATACACACATGAAGAGTAAACGACGGCGACGACACGTTGCGAATTGACATGATCGTCCACCCTCGACAGCATGTCGAATGGACCAAGCACGGCGGAGGAGTCCACGTACGAGCGGCACGAACGACCGCGACAAAAATGCGACAAGATGAGGCTGCACAAGCAATGCAATGACTTGGACAGACTTGACGAAAGACAAAGAGCGTGTAGCAGCCGCTGAATCCAGCGAGCGTGTAACCTATAGACTCTCGTTGCCAGTGCATGCGCGACCAGTCGTTTTTTTCGCTCACGTCGTGTTTGTTCCTGCACAGCTGTCTTACAAGTGCCTGGCACGAGTCACGAACGGTTCAGCAGCGATTGGAGCTGTTCGGTCAAAGTGCTTTGTTTTCGAGCACAGACACAATAGCAGAGATCTGAATCGTACGCAACACGCACGTGTGCATCTTTCTTTCCACCACAGAGCTACAAGTAGATGCACTCGCTATCCGATACGCGCGACTCGCTTCTACGGTGCTGAGTTCCGAGTTCCGAGTTCACGCGGGGCTTTTTGCCCAAAAGCAGCTGGAAAGATCGAAGTCCCTGGTCTTCGCTTGATACTTTGGCTCCCGACATGAGTTTGCACCGAATCTGTAGGTAGAGATCGGTGATCGGTCGGTCGGTCCATCGATCGATCATAGATTGACACTCGGGAGCTGCTCGTTCATAGATAAGTCTCTCCGAAAGTGTGCAAGTCGCTTGGAACCCCAAGTTGTGAGTGTGATCGACGAACGAACGTCCACCCGCAGACGCTCTCGGGCCTCTGCTTTTGACCACAACGAAGTGGAGGGGAGCGACGAGACCCGTCCGTTTGTTCGTTCTCGGACCGCCTCACGCACCGCCTAAAACATACGATGCAGCTCTTCGTCCGATCGGTGCGTACCTCTCGTGTCCAGTCAGTCAGTCAGCCCAACAATCAGTCAGTCAATTGACTTTGCTCTCTCTCTCTCTCTCTCTCTCTCTCTCTCTCTCTCTCTGTCTCTGTGTGTTTCTCTGTCTCTGTCTCTGTGTGTGTCTCTCTGTGTCTCGGACGTTGTCGTCCGTCTGTGACGTGTGTAGGATGCCGGACGCACGTTGACCGTCACTGCCCCCAACGCGCAGACCACAGTGCAGGAGCTGCTGTCGCTCGTCGAGGCCAAGGGCGCGGGCCACTGCTGCTGTGGGTACCTCAACTACGGCGGTGTCCCGCTGCAGTCGTCGCGGTCGCTCGCGGACTACGGCATCCACAAGGCCGCGACGCTCGAGTTTTCGCGACGACTGCACGGCGGCTGCTTTGGCTTTTCGATCCTCTTGTGGACGCTCATCTTCATCTGCTGCTTGATCAGCGTCTGCACGTGCGGCTTGTCACTGCCCGTGGCGCTGTGTCTCCTACCGCTTGCTCTGCTCCTGCCGCTCTGCTGTCTCTAACAAAAAGACGACCTGCAGGCGAGCGCGAGGGGACTAGTGAGGAACGGGGGATGTCGTGTGCTATGGCCACATCTCGCAAGCCGCTAAACGAGACGTGCAAACGGTGCGAGCGCGCGCGCGCGTCTGAATCCGACAACAAGTAGGCAGAAGAACGAGACGACAGTTTGCAGTCGACTGCATACAAATAGGCGACGCCTATTGCCTGCATGTAGTCGCCGACACCACGAGCAGCAACATGGATAGAGAGACCCTCTTCTCCCCACACCAGTGGCGGGAACAACAATACCAAAAAGTCACGTTGGCTGTGTCTTGTGCAAAACTGCGGGCACGAACCCAACGACTAACGTCAACCACGTCACGTCTCTCGCTCCCTCCCTCCCTCATAGCCACGTCACGTCACGTCTCTCTCTCTCTCTCTACTTGTGCACAGCCCCAACGCCCGCGCGTCTCGCTCCCTTGTGCCCGGACGCCTTCACGCCGTCCTTGCTCTTGCTCTTGCTCTTCTTCTGCTTCTGCTCCTCGTTCTTCTTCCTCAGCGCCTGAACTTTGCTCAGCAGCGGCGAGTTCTTGAGCACATCGGGCAGAATGACCAACTTGATCTGCGACCCGCGCACGTACACGAGCTCGAGCTTCGACTTTTGGCCGTCGCGCTGCGTCAACACCGCGTTGCTCAGCTGGCAGTTCATGCTGTCCTCGCTCTCGGTCAAGTGGCCGCGGTAGACCTCCCCGTTCTTGAGCTCAATGGTCACCGTGCGGCCCTCGCCCTCGTGCAGCAGCGAGATGGGGACCCCCACGGTCGTCGTCGTCGTCGTCGCCGCCATTGTGGACAGAGCGATGGGACTGCGCGGACGGCTCTGCTGCTTTGATTCGTAGCTCCCGGGCGCGGGTCACAACTACGGGCTGAAGTGACGATACAAAGTAAGCGCTCTGTTGCGACGGTGGGGTGGTCGTCGTCGTCGTCGTCGCGGTGGTGGTGGTGGTGGAGTCTATGTTGCTCAAGGGATGAGATGGGCAACGTAACGACAGCCAGGAACACGACGAGGTGCGCAAAAAAGCGTTTTTTGCGGGGGACACTGATCCCTCGATCGGAAGTGTGTCGGCTGGCGTGTTGGAGCTGGACGCAAAAAAGTGTCAGTGGCTTTTGGTACGTGGGGCGACGCAGGCAGACGGACTCTGGGTGACTGCATTTGATGAGAAAACGGTCGTGGTGACGTGAAGGAATTAGAATGGGGGATTGCTTGAGCAGCTACACTGTTTGGGTTAGCTGTGACGTGACAACGTGCTCTACCGCTTTGGGCTTTTCACACACACCAGCCGTCCTCTGGATGGTCTTGCCGCTAAGCTATCGAAATGTGGAAGACGTAGGTCGGATTGGCGGGATGAGGTGCTTCGGCATAGCCCTCATCGCTTCGTCAATTGTCACCAAGACTCAATATTGACGAGGTTAGCTCGTCGCGAATACGCGACGCTAGAAAAGCCGTGATACAAAAGGTTGTGAAGGAAGTTGCGATATGCTATTGCTAACTCCCACCTGCACGCGACCAGCAAGATATTCACACGTAAGCAAAGATGCTGTACAGTTGATTTAGCAGAGACCCAACGACCAAACGAGACATCAAATTATCAGTGACAGTGTCAAGGTCATCTTTGTTGATGGGTGCACTGTCAATGCACGGTCAACAAAGCCAACTGTGATTTGCTACGCACAAGTGACAAGACAGCGATGATACGACAGGGTGTAAACGGTTCACGTGCAGTCTGATGATTCTAGAACTACCTTGAGTGTATGTTCTAGAATCTATCAAGATCAGGGAAAGCTACAAGGTAGAAGAAGATAACACGACGAGTAAGTTCATAGGAAAACTAATTCAATACAATTTCCAATTTTCCTTCGACATAACAGGTTATGAGCCCAAGAGCTTAAGGACCCCTGCCAGAAGCCAGTACGATGAAGAAACCCGATGACCTGCTTGGAACAGACAACTACTTCCATTGGGAATTCAATATGAAGATGACACTTGCGAGGAAGGGCCTGCTAGAGCACATCTTGGAAGTGAAGTCGGAGCAGGAGATGACGGAGGATTGGAAGGTCAAGGACATGAAGGCGTTTGCTATTATTGCTCAAGGGATCGAAGTAAAGCATCAGACGAAGATCCGACATGCTCGCACTGCGAAGGAAGCATGGGAAACACTACGCGACTACTACAACAAGACAAACCTTCAGAATCGAGTGGCACTGACACGTCGATTGCACGAATTTCGTATGGATGAGGGAGGCGACATGGTGAGCCACCTCGACCGTTTCGATGAACTTGTTTTGAGTATGGAGGCGGTGGGCGATACCATGGACGACGCACGCCAGATGACAGTTCTGCTGAGTAGCTTACCGGCAGAGTACGAGATGATTGTGTCCATCATTGAGAATTCCATGGGTGTGACGATGGTGGATGTGAAAGAAAAGCTGTTGAAGGAACACAAGAAGAAGCAGCAGCAAGAGGTCTCCGAAGGAGCTTTCCGCGTTGGTCGTGGAGGCCATAAACAGGATCGTGGTCGTGGAATACGCAAACAACGTGGTGCAGAAGAGAGCTGGAAGAAGAAACAGCCGTTTCGTGGGAAGTGTCACCGCTGTAACAAGATCGGACACAAGCAGTTTGAGTGCCGATCTGCCACCAAGAATGATGGAAATGAAATGGCATTCACGGCCACAAACGGATTAAAAAAAGGATGGTTGTTGGACAGCGGCGCCTCGTCACATATGACCCCAGCCGAAGAAGATTTCTTTGAGTAAGAGAAATTGAGAGAAGCCATTCAAGTCGCGTTGCCGATGGTGCGGTCATGAATGCAATTGGACGAGGAAGCATTCGATTTCGCTGTACGAAGGGTACAGCAGTGACTGTGAATGAAGTATTGCACATTCCAACGCTGGACAGACGACTACTAGCGGTGCCCAAGATCGTCCAGCGTGGGTACAACGTTCGATTCGGTGAAAAATACTGCGGTATCTACAAGGATAATGTGTTGATGATTTCTGCGAAGCGCATGAGAAGCGTGTACACTCTTGATGTGGAGTATGAGCACGCGATGTTGGTAGAGCATGAAGACGCTGGTAACAAGTGGGAGCTGTGGCATGCACGAATGGGTCACATTAGCCACAACAAGTTTAAAAAGACAAAGGAGGCTACGGAAGGACTACCGAATGTAGTACCTGACACGAACAAGAATTTGTGTGGAGGGTGTCTACAAGGGAAACTGTGTGTCGCGAGTTTTCCACAAGAGTCGAAGACAAAGACAACGCAGCCACTGCAGCTTATTCACTCTGACGTCATGGGCCCTATGAAGAACCCAACTCCTGGTGGGTCACGATACGTATTGTCTCTCGTGGACGATTTTTCAAGATTAGTGACTGTATATTTTCTGAAGTCCAAGAGTGAAGTACTGTCGAAGTTCATTGAATTTCGGACCGAGATGGAGCAGCAGTGTGGATTTCGTATTAAGGCCATACGTACTGACAATGGCGGTGAATACAAAAACAAGAGGTTTGCTTCGTACTGCAAGAAACACGGCATCATCCATCAGAAGACAGTACCCTACAGTCCTCAACAAAACGGTGTTGCTGAACGGATGAACCGTACGATTGTTGAGACGGCCAGAAGCATGATGCATTACAAGCGGGTGGCAAAGAAGTGGTGGGCCGAAGCTGTGAATACGGCGGTGTATTTACTTAACAGAACCACGAACTGCAATCACGAGGAGAAGACTCCTTTTGAACTGTGCTTTAAGACGAAGCCCGAAATTTCTCACCTACGTGTATTTGGTTCACTTGGATACGCACATATCGATGACTCAAAGCGCACGAAATTCGACGCGAAAGGGTTTCGCTGCATGCTATTAGGATATGCAAGACACACCAAGGGTTACAGGGTGCTTGATCTGGAGACTGGTACGATCAAGATCAGTCGTTCGATCGCGTTAGATGAACGTGAAGTTAGTAACATTTACGAAGACAATCCGGTTGTACCACACCCGAAGATGATAATAATACGACAAGATGACGATGATGGAGATCAATAAAGTAACTTGCAACAAGATGGTGATGAAGATGTTGAAATGGAAGAGCACGAAATTGTCGAAGATGTGGAGATGGAAGTACCGAGTTCTGACAATGACATCAGTAACACACCTTCGAGTGAGACAAGCAATCATTATCTTGCAAGAAATATGAACAACGAACAACATCAACACACTTCCCAAGTAATTCAACAAGGACCTCGTCACCAAGAACTCGAATTACACAATCCGCACGACTCTGGAGCGATGGTGTTCCGTCCACAACTTAAGCGTCGTTCCGGTCGCGAGCATCAGTATCGTGTTCTTACCGACGATGCCAGTGGGAGAAGTGAATCCGGACCACGAGGAGGTGTTGATGAAATGCTACCAATTGAGCAACCTGTTCAGCTCTTGTTGGAAGACAATAACACTAGTACCACAACAGAAAACAGCATTGTGCCATACAATGAAAACCATGAAGCCAGTGGGAGTGAAGATGACGAACCTCCTTCCAAGCGATCGCGAATAAACAGCGATGTGGCATTGATAGCAGAAGTTGCCATGATAGCTCGTGATTTACCTGGCTCTTATGCGGAGGCAGTGAATGGACCTGACAGATACCAATGGATTAAAGCTATTGAGAATGAATTTTCGGCTCATGAGCGTAACAAGACGTGGACACCAATTGTACGCAAGCCTGGAATGAAACCAATTGGATCGAAGTGGGTATGGGCTAAAAAGAGTGATGGTCGATACAAAGCACGACTTGTGGCGCTCGGATTCCTGCAACAATATGGTATCAACTTTTTCGAGACGTACGCGGCTGTCGCCAGTATGAACTCCATCAGGATGCTATTGTCGATTTGCTGCGCAGCAGGATATGTGATCGACCAGCTTGATGTTGATACGGCCTACCTGAATGCCGACCTACAAGAAGAAGTATACTTGTTACCACCCAAAGGGATGAAAATTGGCAGCGAGTTTGTACTTAAATTGAATCGCGCGCTTTACGGACTTAAGCAGGCTGCAAATGCCTGGAATAAGACGAGTCACAATGCATTACTGGAGATGGGATTTGTCGCGTGCGGTGCTGATCGATGCATATACAAGATAAAGGATGGTGAAGGCTGGGCGTACGTGTGCTTATACGTTGATGATATGATTGTGGCTGCAAAAGAAGCAACCACGGTACGCAAGGTGAAAGAACAAATCTCTCAGCGGTTTCAAACCAAAGACCTTGGTCCAGTGAAGCACTTGCTTGGAATGGAAGTTATGTACGACCGAAAGAAGCGTGAGATGTTTATTTCGCAACAAAGATACATCGAGGAGACTGCAGACATGTTTGTACAGACTCAAGCCCGACCAACTGGTAACCCATGTGATCAGAGCATGAAACTGTCCAGCGCAAATAGTCCAAAGTCCGATGTCGAAAGACAAGCCATGAGTCGTACACCGTACCGCCAATTGCTGGGACGACTGCTGTTTATAGTGACCACGACCAGACCAGACGCAGCATTTCCTGTGAGCCAACTTGGACGATTTGCAGAAAACCCTGGCTCACAACACTGGAAGGCACTGATCAAAGTGCTAAGATACCTCCGCTCGACGAGTGGTTTTGGATTACACTACAGTGTTGACAAACTACAGCAACAACTAACAGCGTATAGTGACGCCGATTGGGGAAACAGCTTGGACGACCGTCGATCGGTATCTGGTGTTTTGCTGGTGCTTAATGGAGGCCCTGTTATATTTAAGTCTAAGTACCAACGCACCGTTGCATTGAGTACTTCTGAGGCTGAATACATGGCGCTAAGCATGTGCACTCAAGACATACTATGGGCAAGGATGTTAATGGCTGACCTCGGATTCGAGCAGAAGAATCCTACTGTCATCTACGAGGATAATCAAGGAGCCATTGCTCTCGCAACAAACCCAGGATACCATGCGCGGACTAAACACGTAGACATACGTCACCACTTTGTCCGAGAGAAAGTTCTAGCCGGTAATATAAAGGTGATCTACAAGGAGACGGAACATCAACTTGCCGACATACTAACGAAGGCACTCGGCACCAAGCGATTCCAGTACCTCCGTGCCGGAATGGACATCAAGGTACGTGATGGACCCGAGCATCAACAGTGAGTGGGAGTGTTGATGGGTCCACTGTCAATGCACGGTCAACAAAGCCAACTGTGATTTGCTACGCACAAGTGACAAGACAGCGATGATACGACAGGGTGTAAACGGTTCACGTGCAGTCTGATGATTCTAGAACTACCTTGAGTGTATGTTCTAGAATCTATCAAGATCAGGGAAAGCTACAAGGTAGAAGAAGATAACACGACGAGTAAGTTCATAGGAAAACTAATTCAATACACTTTTCCAATTTTCCTTCGACATAACAATCTTGACACGGCCGAAGTCTACAGATAGCGGGACAAGGAAACGACAACACAACCGGTAGATCGACGACAGAGTGGTTGTGGGAAGCAACATTGTTAGCTAGCACGAGCAAGGACCTTGTCGTTGTCAATAGCAACGAAGAGCTACGGAACGAAGTCCACCATCGCGGAAGGTTACGAAGGCTATCGTCCCGACTGAATACGCCAAAAACAGGCAGAACCACCTTTTACAAAACACAACGCATCATCTTGTTTTTGTACTCGCAAGAGTCGACAGCTACCGCTTGTCGCCACACACCTTTCATCAGAACACACCTGGATACCATTACGATGACGCGCTTATCGACGCCCCGCGTCGTCGCTTGCTGCCAGCGCTTACAATCAACACGGCAACGCGAGTAATCAGATCGAACGACGGAGCACGTGTTCGAGGGTGGCCTCTATGTCTCGCATCGGCGCGTCTGCTGTATGGCACATGATGACGTGCTTCACTCTCGTCTTTACACTTCTAGACCCGTTCTCAGACCAGTGAGGTGAAGCCGAAGGAGATCCAGGTAAGCGGAATAGACGATCAGTAGAGGTGCAGCTGTACATTACTGTTACTGCAAAGTCGTCTGCACAGTTCGTGGGCCGATGTAAAGAGCAGCGACGCGGTTTGTAAAATGAGATGACCAGCACGTTTGGTGCCAGCCAGCCGGCCTATCTAGGCAGGTCAGTGGGAACAACTTGTTCATCGTACAGTCATCGTCGAGCCGGCTTGCCACTTGTACTTGGTGACCGATGAACACAGCCGAAGGAACAAATGCGTGTGAAAGTTGGTTGCATAATTGCAAAGCTACAACACAAGGTTTGACGACTTTCGCGCATGAGGCTATACTCGTGGTCCGACGCCGTCTTTGCTGGTCTTTGCATATGCCACACGCATGTGGTTTCTCCACAAAGGTGCGTGAGTAAGTGCGTTCGAGGAGATAGCAACTTCGTGTGCAGGGCAAGGTGAGACTTTTGTGCAAACAAGCATAATGCGACTGCAGCAGACGAATCCAACCACTGCAAACAGCGGTTATGGTGACATCCTTCGTCCACTCCCTTCTTACTCGGTCTGGCCGAATTGTCCTGAACAAGAGTGGCAGATCACGTCTCCTTTGTTCACGTGTTCGGAGCGCGCAAGCTCGACGATATATGCTGCACGTGTCCGAGCTGACGCTTCATGACAAAAATAGAGTAAATTGGCTGCACATGGCAGATGGTTTCCAGCATGATAAAAATAGACTCGAAACGATGACAGACAGTACGCAGATACTGCAACAGTCCGGACGCTTACTGTGCAGTCAACATGAGCTCCTTTACAGCGACACATTCCTGGTTGCGCCAACGCATTCGCTTCAGGCTGACTTGGCCACCACCTGACTGACAACGTGCATTTTTTACAGAGCTTCAAGTCATCGACTCTGCTGTCCAGCATCAGCACGGGACCTGTGCGTTCCTTTACATGACAAAAGTCGATGCTAGTCAGTCATTTCCAAAATTGCCTTCCAGTGCAGTGCATCCATTCTCTAGTCCGACAAGCAGCAACAAAGCGCCACGTTTCGTACCACGTTGAGGATGGGTCGCTTTACATACATGTCCACCTTCGCCGCAGCCCTCGCCTTTGCTATCAAGAATGCTGCCGGCGCTTTCACTGTTGGCTCTGCCTCTGGTCTAGGCGCTGGTACAACGGGAGGAGCTGGCGGGAAAGTTGTGTACCCCACTTCGAACGCCGAGCTTACGATGTACTTGGGAGACACCAAACCGCTCGTGATTGTCCTTGACCGGACTTTTGACTTTCGCGGAACTGAAGGCACGACCACCGAGGCCGGTTGCCGGCCGACTGCGAATCGCCAGTGTCTCGCGAAGCGCAATGGCTTTAAGGGCCAAGATGTGATTCTTCAAGAAGGTGGCATGAAAAGCACAGGTGGCTGCGTAGACGGCACGAAGGTGACGGTGAAGTACGATAACGCTGGAATCAAGCGCTTGTTTGTGAGGGATCACAAGACCATCCGTGGCATTGGCAAGAAAGGTGTGATCAAGGGCAAGGGACTGACGCTGACCAACAACATTATCGTCCAGAACGTCCACATCACGGAAATAAACCCGCACTTGGTGTGGGGTGGTGACGCGATCTACATCTGTAACGGTGGTCCCACTGCGAGCAAAAACGTGTGGCTCGACCACTTGAAGGTGTCTCGCATTGGCCGCCAAATGGTCGTGACGGGCGAGGCTGGTGTAGATGGACTGACGATCAGCAACTCGGAATTCGACGGAAACACGGACTTTTCAATGTCGTGCGACGGGCACCACTACTGGACTTTGCTTTTCTACGGAAGAAAGACGGCCGTCACCATGGTCAACAATTACTTGCACGGGACCTCGGGTCGATCACCTAAGGTCGGCAGCAGGAAAGAGGACAATGTCGTCTTGCACGCCGTCAACAACTACTGGGGTAAAAACTCCGGCCACTCTTTTGATGTCAGCCTCAGCGGATACGTTCTCGCCGAGGGCAACTACTTCGACAGCACCGCGCGTCCTGCTATAGCAGACATAAAAGGCGATCTGTTTGCATTCGACGATAAGGACGCAGCTGGTGCGTGCAAAACCTACCTGGGCCGACCGTGCGAGGCGAACGTCGTAGTGAAAAGCGGCAAGTTTACGTCGCACAATGGAATCCCCGCCCTCAAGGCAATGAAGGCGTATCGGAGCATTGTCGACTTTTCCTCGAAATCGACTTCTGCTGACAACGTGGAGCAGGAACAGGTGTACAAGTTCAGTGATGCGAACAGTACGAGTTCCACGCTGTATCAGGCGAAAGACTTGGCCAAGGAGTGGGCCAAGACGACCAACAACTTCGGTATCGGCAAGTTGAACTAATGTTCGTAGTACGACTTCGGTACGGGTTAGTGGAACGAAGGTCCGTTTGTGTAGTAGTGTGCAAGTTGTAACAATGTTGAATACAAGTTTGATGTTAACGGTCACAGAGTTTCATTTTGACCAGGTTGGTAGTGATACTGGTCTATCGAGTTACGCCCTACCGGTGCGCGTACAATATCGAGATGCGTGCAACGCAAGCACAAATTGCATGATAGAATCGCAAGGTATGGAGCTCGTTTTGTAATGAAAGTAAGTTAGTTTATAACACTGACTGAAGTCTTGGATATTCATGTTCCGATTTGAGGTGATTGGGGTTAAAGGCTGGAAAATGGGTTGTGCGTTGTGAGGTGTACTAGCCAAAGTGGTCGTTATTGTTGTGTGATGGAGCAATCCATCGATAATTCTGGCGTGTTGGCGACAAGAAAAAGAGTACATAAGGCGATGGCTAATCGTGCCGATCCTTCTACACCAGCAATGTTAACAAAAAATACATAACGACATGAATGGATTGATAGGAAAACTGGCAAGTAGCTTCTTCTACCTCCGAGCTAGAAGGGCAGGTATGATCTTCATACTCTTTCGTTTTTGTCTACACGATTATAACGTGGTATGTACGTCAATGTTGCCATATCACGCTACATCTGTAATGGGCCACCCCGTTACATAAGTAGTTTCGATTAAGTTTACATGTTACTTAAGTAGGGGTGTTACTTTCGAAGTAGCGAAAGTAGCACGTCGTATATTTTAGCTGGTTTAATGGGCTCAGTACCATTATTAGCCAGTAAGATATAGACACGTAGATTGAGTGGTTCCCATGAGTCCAAGGGAACCATTCGTACTTAGGATGATTTTAAAAGACAAAATATAAACAGAGTTAAAAATACTTAACACCTAAGACTTGGGCTTTGAGCTTCCTCAAAGCGTTAGAAATAGTGTACGCTGAGTACGGGTTATTCTAGCCCCGTTACACCTGGTAGCACTTAGTAGTCCTTCCCATGCCCGAGTTTGGGATGAGCGATTCGTCGTACTTTGACGCTCCAGACGTGAGTCTGGAGCACGCGACTTTTCCCCATCTCACTGGTGTTGAGTGGGATGCCCTAAATCGCCTCGCGGCGATATCGGGAGAGGCATTTGTTGTGTCGCTGATGAGATCAGCGACTCCTGATGAACAGCGTCTCGCCATACACGACTACATGGCTCGCGAGCTCGCCGAATTCCATCGGCGAGGTTTAACTCCCTCGCGGACTTCACGGAACGATGCCGTGAAGATGGAGACCTCCGCCTATTCTGGCGAAGGAAAAGAACGCTTGTCGTTGTCTCGTTGGTTTCGAGAGGTCGACATCGCTATCGCCTCGAGACTTCTCGAGGCTCCTCAAGCGAAGGTCAATTTCCTTCTTTCCCGTCTCACTGGGAAAGCCAAGGAGTGGGCCTTGGGAAAACTCGTTGTTGACGAGTTTGCGTTCCCCACTCTGGAAGCCATCCAGAGTGACCTTCGACTCGCCTTCGAGCCGCCCCAGGAAGAGAAGTTGGTGCGTTCAAGGTTCCTGTCCCTGCGACAGGGTAAGATGTCCATGCGCGACTACGTGCAGATGGCTCGACATCTGGCATCTTGTATTGTCACGCATCCCATGGACATGTATACACAAGTGAACGTGTTTGTCGATGGCATGCGTGAAGGGCAGACTCGCCTCTCGCTGGAACGAGCAGAGCCTGCCACGTTGGAGGAGGCTTTCGCTATCGCTCTCCGTGAGGATTTCAGAGTCACCAAGGCCTATACCAAGCCTTCAGTTGTTACCGCTGTCAGATCAGCGGGCCCGGAACCTATGGAGATCGATGCAATTGAGTCGTCGGGTGACCGACGACGCGCTACAGCCTACAAGGGCGACGTCCGAGGCGGACGTCAGATGATCTGCTTTCGATGCCGAAAGCCGGGACATCGCGCGGCTGAGTGCCGCGCGCCAGCACCGATGTCGGTGCATGCGTCGGACACCCATCATGAGGGAGGTGCTCCGATCAGTCGTCCAAAAAACGGACGAGACCAGTAGGTGCAGGGCGCCCTACTGGTTTGAAGAGAGGTCCGGGTCCACCGGTGGTAGCCCGACCTCCCAGCCCATCTGTGCTGCGTGCACGGTCAAATGCCACCACTACGAGTGGTGATTCACGCCTGATTATTGTTAATCTACATGTCGCCGGTATCCGGCGACCCCTACGAGCGCTCCTGGATTCAGGAGCGACAAACAATTTCTTCCGTGAATCTTGCGTGTCAATGCTGCCACCCAGCATCCAGGTCCACGAGGGACCTGGCCAAGTTGTTGTCAAGCCCGCTGACGGGAAACCACGCCGCGTATCGCGGCGCGAAGTGTCGTTGCCGTACACGTTTGACGGCTTTCGCAGTAACGACAACTTCTTGGTGATTGAAATGAATTATGCATTCGATTGCATCCTGGGCATGCCATGGTTGGCACGCTATAAGCCCCAGATCGACTGGTTAGCCAGATCAGTGAGACGTCGAAGCAAGTTCGACGTCAGCGAAGTGTTCACCCATCTCTTGGTGTCTCCAAGTGATTGGCCGAACGTTACAGTCGTGGATCGTACATCCACGACACCGGCGATACACAGAGTGAGCGATGGCCCTCTCTGTACCGCTTGTTCCGTGCCCCTACGCACGAGTGATGATGACTCCTCGCTTTGCAGCGAGGAGTCCGACGTGGACGAGCAGTGGCTCCCACGTAATGACGACGCGGACGAGCAGTGGCTCCCGCGCAACGACGACGCGGTCGAACAGCGGTTCCCGCACGAGAGAGCAGTGGTCGAACACGAACAGGTGTTCCCACCTGTACCCATTGTGGTCGAGCAGAGGCTCCCACAAGGGCAAGACGTGGCCGAGCAGGGGCTCGCCACCGAGTGTGACGTGGATGGACAAGAGTCCCCACGTGCGAATATGATGGTCGAACAGGGGTTCCCATCATCGCCTACTGTGGTCGAACAGAGTTTCCCACATGAGCAAGTCGTGGTCGAGCAGGGGCTCCCACACGAGTTTGTTGCGGTAGAGCAGGGGCTCCCGCATCATGCGTCGACGGACGAGTATGGAATACTCCCGTCGCGCGATTTCGACGTCCTGGATGAGGACATCCAGCGTCTAGAGGGGGGTGCAGATTTAACACCTGACTGCGGTTCGCCAGCTTCGAGCATGGACTCGAGGCACGATGGGGACGCAAGCTACGAGAACTCAGCGTTGGAATGTGTTCACGCTATTGTGTACGTGGACGGGAGTCCACAAAGGCGCCAATACATTGAGGTCGCGAGTCCACCTCGCGACGCGTCATCTATTACGAGCCTTCCAGGACTCTCCTGGAAGCATTTTCTACGCGACCTCAAGGGAGGCACGGTGGAACAAGTATGTCTGGTCACCAACGAGGTGACTCATGAGCCGAATGAGGAGCTGATGACGCGCCCTCGAAGCGCTGAAAAGAAATCAGCGCGCGAAGAAAGATTTGCGTCGCAATCTTGGGAGGCTCTGCGCGAGTCTGGTAACCCTGTTTACGACATTGCACGAGAGTACGCCGACGTGTTCCCGGACAAGATTCCGGCCGAACTCCCTGCCGATCGTGGCGTGCGGCACGAGATTGATCTCGTGCCAGGATCGAAATATTGTGTGACACGACAGTGGCCGTTGCCTCGAGACCAAGTCGAGGCTATTGATGCATTCTTCGAAGGTCGTCGCAAGGCCGGTCATGTGCGTGAGAGTGTCTCTCCCCATTCGAGTCCAACCTTCTGCGTGAAGAAGGCTACGGGAGGCTGGCGTATAGTGCATGCGTTTAACAAGCTCAACGATGCCACTATTCCTGCCCAAACGCCTATCCCCAGGAAAGACATGGTTCTAAACTCCATGTCAGGTAGCGTCATCTTCAGCGCCATCGATCTGACCGATGGCTTCTACCAGATCTTGATGCGACAGAGTGACATACCACTCACTGCGGTGAGCACCCCGAGTGGTATGCTTTGGGAGTGGCTGGTGATGCCACAAGGATTGAAGAACGCACCAGCCACTTTCAATCGCATGGTATCTCAAGTGTTGAGACCGCTTCGAGACTTTGCTCCTAGCTACTTCGATGACATCTTTGTCCACAGTCGCGCTGAGGGCAATCTCAGTGCTGTCCAAGTTCACCTTCAACACCTGAAGCAGGTGTTTCAAGTCATGCGAGATAACAAGTTATATGCAAACTTGAAGAAGTGTGTATTCTGTGCACCGGAGATTCCGGTGCTGGGCTGCTACGTGAGTAAATCGGGTGTTCGAGCCGATCCAGAGAAGGTGTCGTCAATCTGTTCTTGGCCCACACCCAAGAACCCTACGGAGTTACGTCAATGGCTCGGTCTAGCTAATTACTTGCATAAGTACACAAAGGATTACGCCGGTTCTATACAGCCCCTGTCGTCACTTCTGAAGAAAGACGCCACGTGGTCGTGGCGTTCCGAACATCAAGCAGCCTTTGACGCAGTGAAGAAAAGCCTGGCGTCGGCGCCAGTGTTGATACTCCCTGACGACACCAAACCGTTTCACGTGGTGTGTGATGCAAGTGACTTTGCAATTGGTTGCGCCCTCATGCAGTTCGATCACGAGGGCCGTGAACGAGTCGTGAGCTATCAGTCACGACAGATGAAACCGGCAGAGAAGAACTATCCGGTTCACGATAAGGAACTGCTAGCGATGCGCTACGCACTCATCAAGTTTCGTGTCCACCTACTGGGCGAACGCACGTTCGCCCTGTATACTGATCATGCATCGCTGCGGACAGCAATGAAGAGCCCACACCTGTCACAGCGGATGGCACGGTGGCTCTCTTTCTTCTCCGAGTACAACTTCGTCGTGCACTACAAGCCAGGCAAGACCAACATTCTTGCTGACGCACTGTCACGACGCCCAGATTACGATCCTCGTATGGCACTGAGTCGTCAGGCAACTGACGACGACGATGAAGACGATCGATGTGCGACGTGTG